GGCGTGCTTAGAAAAAGCATGAGATAGGCAGTCAAAGCATGCGGACCGCCATCGGAGGGATGTGTCATTTAACAAAGGAGATGACGTCCTCCTTTCGACACAACATATCACCCTCAAACACCCTGGAACTCGAAAACTATTACCGAGGTGGATTGGGCCCTTCACCATCCTCGACCGGATAGGTCCTGTCGCATATCGACTGGAACTTCCGAAAAGCATGCATAAGATACATCCAGTATTTCATGTATCAAAGATTAAGCCATATAAGGCCAGTGGCAGAGTACAGCCACCTCCAGTCCCAATCGAAATCGAAGGGGAACTAGAATATGAAGTTGAACGCATTTTGGATAAAAGAATTAAAAAGCGCGGAAGGCGCCAGAACTCGGTAGAGTACCTCGTCAAATGGCTGGGATATGGACATGAGCATAATAGCTGGGAATCAGCAAAAGCAGTTGCAAATGCACAGGAACTGGTTCAAGCATTTGAAAATGGAAGAACTCCTGTTGTGCCAACTGATCGCAGTACGAAATGTACACGTTGAAATAAGCTCATGTGTGGTTATGCCTTTGACAGGTCCTGCTGAAGTGGGCCCAGAAGCAGACTGGGTATACCGGGCCCCGTACTCATACGTTGTTCGGACATATGAACGCAATGTCCGCAACTATCTTGAACGGGGAATGTCTGACCACGGAGCAGCCGTTGATCCAACCTCCTCGAGAGCCCGTCCGTGCACGTGGGCGAGGACGAGGTCCTTTGTATTCTTGAGGTGGTCATGGTTGGGCAGCGGGTGGCCGCATGTATCGGGGTAGGGGACGTGCAGGGTGACCTGCATGTTCCACATCTTTTCCTTTGACGGACATAGGCCGGAAGGTCAGAACATTGCAACCAAAGTGCTGAACGAAGAGTTTTAATGAGGGTTGTCAAAGGCCGGCAGGTCATGTAAAACAACCACTCTTTCTCTTCACCACAGTTGTATGGTTATCACGCAAACTGGGCATGTGGCAAATCGCACAGCCAGTTGCCGTGTACATAATGTTTCTGCTCCCGTATCCACGCATTGGGACGAGGACGCCCCACTCCCTGAGGGGGACGAATGTTACGCGCACCGGCCTGATGTGGGGGACGCCCTACTAATGGCCCTTGGTGTGGGGGATGCCCTGCCCAAGATAACTATCCTCAACCCATGGTAACCATTCTAGGTATTAGAATACGGGAGTAGGAGGGGTGGTCCCGCCAAGGTCCCTGTAAGGACCTAGGTGCCCGGCGAGGCGGGTCCGCGGCTCAAAGAGGGCAGGAACCCCACACCCACATGCTTTACATATCAGACTTGAAGGAAATCCCTTTGCCGCATATGCGGCAAATGATCTTGCTGTGGTCGTCTTCCTTCCCTCGACCGGCCAGATCTTTGTGCGATGCTGCCAGTCGGGCCTCTCCTTCCATACACGAGCCACCCACCGCCGCCGCTCGCCTACAGCCCCAACGGTTGGGCCACACACCTATTGCTTCGGAGGCGACCCCCACCCCACCCCCTCTCCGCGGGTTCGGCGGTTCTCGGGTGCATTCCCACCTCGGCCGGGCCGGGCCACGCTGCTTTCACCCCGCCCAGGGCGGGTCTCATGTCATTAACGGGTTCTCTGTAGCACTGCAATGTAGACTTAATTCCCCGCCACACGTGGATCGCTGGATCCCCGGGCCGGCAATACTTCTTCGATGCTCCCCAACAATCGCAAGGTTCGGGAGCCCTCATTGCCCCCAGATCAGTCCCCCACGCCCCCCGCCACCAAATGCGAAAAGTCAAACAAGTCCGGGAGTGGGGCGCTGCCGCCAACAGACGTCCCCTGGCCTTCCCCCCCTACCGCTGCCACCGCCACCGCCATCCCCGCATGCCCGGATCCCTCACCTTGGGGGGTGGGGGACCGCCTTTCCGGGCGCCCCTCTGTCTGGCCCTGGGCATCCCCTGCCGCAGGCTGTGGGGGGCCGCCTTGGTGATGTCGGGCCGGGGACCGTGACTCCCCGGCCTTCAGATGCCGCCACCGCTGCGTCTGCTTGGTCTTGCCACCCATCGCAACAGGCGCAAACTGTGCTGCAGGGGGGCAGGGGCACCACGTTTGTGGACCGTGGGGCGCGCGGCCCACGCGTCAAATCTGATCGCTGCATTTTTTTTGGTCCACACATGAATTTGATGTTGTTATGTACTGTGGAACGGCTTCCAGAACAGGTTCTAGGACGGCCTGGGACGGCCTTCAGAACGGCCTGGAACGGACTTCGGAACGGCCTGGAACGGACTCTGGACTGGTCTGGAACGGACTCTAGACAGGCCTTGGGCAGTATAGGAACGGACTCCTAGGTGGGCCGTACTGCCCTGGAACGGAATTGGGATGGCTGCATACCGTCCCAGATCCGTCCCAGTCCGTTCCCAGCCAGGGACGGATCCATCCCTGGCCGTTCTTGGGCCTGCCGGCCCAAGGACGGGGACGGACTCCGGTCCGTCCCCCCCGTCCCCGTTCCTAGTCCGTCCCCGTTCCTGGATGGCCCACCTCTGCTAACAGCCTTCAAATACTAGGTACTGCGGTTGTGAGGTCTTGGCCCTTGGACCGGCTGAATACCGGGTAATACGACAACGAGATTCAGACCCTTGGCCCGGCTCATTTACTGGGAAATACAACAACAAGGTTAAGGCCCTCGGCCCAGTCAAATACTGGATAATACAGAAGCGAGATTCAACCATCGGTCCAGTTAAATTGCGGGTAATATAGCAACGAGGTACAGGCCCTCGGCCTGGTTAATGACCCTTCATGACCAGTCTCAATAGTCCAAGACCAACAAGAACACTACATCAATAAATGGATACAATGCACATGCAAATCAGTAGGGGGATGTGAATTGGATATTGTAGTTGTTCTCTCATTGGGTGCATATATGTAGAGGTGTAGAGAATGCCAGTAGAGGGGCATTGAGTTGGACAAAAGTAATGTCCTTCTTATATATCTGATCGTGATTTAGAGGTCAGTGCAGGAAAAGACCATTGTAGCAACGACAATGCTATGTGGTATATCAGATCTTATATTGATATGAGCATGCTTTGAGGTTGTCCAGGCACACCATGGGAGGAAACACCACTCACGTGAGAGAGGTGTTGTGGTGGACTGGAGGGACTTTAGAGCAATCATGGGCTCTAAGGTGGTCTGATGGAAGTTGCAAAAGCATTAGAGTTATTTTGCATTGGCACAGAGGGATTAAGTCATGGTTGGGGGGTTACTCGACTTGATAGCACAACATAACTCAAGTTGTAGGAAAAGCTGTCTGGGGAGCTTATCTTGACATGTGGAATCAAGCGAATCTTCATAGCGGGCAAAAAAAGACTTGACTAACAGGTGTATGGGTATGTGAATAAAATTGTGGCCTAGACTCTCAGAGGTTTAGAGTTTTATGGTTGGTCACTAAGCGGCATACACATATCGGTAGGGGCTAATTGTTGATATCCTGTTGTAGGTTGCCTCAGGGAATTAGAAGATGAGTGATGGTATTCAAATGTCAAGCAATATTTGGAATCTAAGGAAAAAAATGGTCGTGCAATGGCGTTGGGGAAACCATGCCTTTGGGCCCCTTCCACATGAATGAAACTAAGCTTGAGGATGAATTTTTCACAAGCATGTTTTCCAGGCATGGTGTAAGGTGCTTGGTGCTCGATGTGGCCACATCAATGCCAGTGGAACCTACAGCATTAGCATTGCGAATGCTTTATATGCTCAAAATGCATGAGGCACGATATTTCTGCAAGTGCTTTTGTGGTACGATATAGCACAAGCAATGCGTTGTTCAAAGACTGTGTCTTGTTGCCAGTAAATCATCAATGCATGTCATCACATGTGGTATGTACACTGATGTGCATTGAGTAGGAATTCAGTACTTCATGGCCCAAGGCACACAACATGCTTCCAGTTAAGACATGCACCTGATGTCAACCACCTCTTATAATATCGTCAACAGTTAGGGAGAAGATTCTCAGTTGTTATGGAAATGATAGTTGGGGAGTCATTACTGACCATTAGATCCTTACTATGGAGTATTGGTGGGATTGGACCATGTATATAGATTAGTCATGATCTCTAGATATCTCTAGCCACGTTATTTATCCTAAACCCTTAGTTTTAGTGAAGATATGACCATTATTAGTACCATTACTTTGGGATAGGCCAAGGGGGTAGGATACGGCTAGAGTATCGATACAGGGACCGATATTGGGGTGCGCTAGACATGGTACAATCGTTAGTCTCCTGTATTTTATACATGTCTGTCGTTAGGTGAGACTGATGTGCCCCGACCGGCCAATCAGTACTTGGTAAATAGGGTGGTGTCTGACCACCCCTTGTAACACCCGTTTGGCTCACTGACGCGCACCACACAGGCCTTGTGGCCCAGGGTGTAGGTTGCTCCACAACACGCCATCATTAGATGACAAACCACCAGATCCATGCGTAGAGGAGGCTCACCACGTATGACGAGGTAGCGAGCAACCCGACATCTGGGGATCTGGATGGACCCTAAGGACCGGTGACGGCACCGGGTGCAGCGAGCGGCCAGAGGGGCGAAGGGACCAAGCAGGGGGGCGGCATCCGGTGGCCGGCCCCGTGCAACATCAGTCCAAGGCCATAATTAAGTGGAGAAAAGGAATTGAATTGACCCCATCCATGTGCAATGTGCTTTTGGCACAACAAGACAGAAACACATGTATATCTACATGCAAGGAGCTTTGATGACATCAACTGGAACCAGCTGCACACCTGTTGTGCTATGCCTATGGAACATTAGTAAAAAACAACCGTGCTTCTCCTGTGGGCACTGACCGCGGAATACAATGATTCTAAATTGATGCGCTGACGTCATTGCTCAGGATGCGGGGTTGCACGCTCTAGGACACAGCAATTCCCTTTGTGTGCCCAGCCCAGGAGTCCATGGGGACAGGAGGCCACTGTTGTTACAACTGCCTCTGAACACGCTCACTCTTCTCTCACTGGCAACTTGAAGCTGAGACTCATGGAGTCGTCAAAACCAGCTGTGCTCAAAGGATCTCTGTACACAAACATAAAATGAACGTATCCACCGTTCTCGCCAATGCCTGCACCAACAACAGCCCACATTCTCAGTTGACATGATGGTCCATATGCGAAAAGGGCTCGTTACCAACCCAAACTTAACGTTCATAGTAGCCTGTCAAGCATCTGAACTTCAACAACTGACAATAGTTGAAGCCAATGAGATGAGCTTGAAAAAGACATGTGAAGACATCCAAGACACCAATGCAGTTATGGGCCTGATGCACTGCCGAAAGAGATCCAGGTGGATGCCACCGGCAGAATAAGGGATATGAAAGGTGCCAGATATCATGCATGCACAGGGCGCCGTCACAATATTCGATGCCTGCATTTGGACGAGTATTGCACCCCGTGACAGTGGTTAAGAAGTCACAGGAGTGGAAGCTGATTTTCAGAGTTGGAGAACACCAACGAGGCAGACAGTGGTGCAACAGTGCAGTGGGTTCAGATGGTGATTGTTGTTCTATTTTGGAGGACTCTTGGACAAATTCTGGACTTTTGAACATTGGAATTCCTTGCAAAGGAGAACCGTGCATTCAGACATGCAGCAAACCAGGGACTAGGCTTTTGTTTCCAGCAATCGTGCCATGGAATTCCTTCCTGGAGATCAGCATCTGCCATCAATCGTCATTCTGCTATCTCCAAATTTCTTGCACATGATACATGAATGGACGCACCACACAGCAGCTGTGCTGGTTGGGTCAGCTGGCTTGCAGCTAGACTCCTAGACAAGTGCTTGGTTTGAACGTCCTGCATCCACAACAGACAACATGGTGCATTAGAGCAAACAATGAGACAAATTCGATTTACTCTCATTGCTGATCCGCCAGGGCCCCCTGGGAGTGCTGAACTTCTCTTTTGAGTCTGAGCAATCTTTTGGATTCAAGCACCTTGGGGACTTTATATCCCCTTGCACACTCTTGCTAGGTGGCACAATGCCAGCATATCTTGTGACGGGACAGGGGTGGCACCTGTACACTGGAATGTGATTTTGGAGTCAAAAGAAAAACAACACACAAGAGGCTTTACTGGCATTTGGGAACAAAGTGTGCCTCAGATGCTGCGAATACAAAGACAGCCATGAACCTAGCCTTGGTTGCATTTTCACTGAATCACGGCAATGCCATTTTGCACTTCTTGGCGCCTCGATTCTGAGCATCATGGCCATTTCGCTGCAGCAAAGTGGCAAAACTATAGCCTGCGCAAACAAACTTCGAAGGGCTGCCCAGCTCCATACATACCACCCCAGCCGCCTGCTCCATTTCTAACGATTCTTGCAGGCGCTCTTCAGCTGTTTCTGGCCTGCACAATGCAACAATGAAAATCAAAAAATTATCTCAACACATGCATTTGCACACTGTTGTGTGCCAAGCAGTCCAGTGCGCAGATGCTTTCATTGATGACCACCAAAGCACTTGCCCAGTTGTGCATGGAGCAAGGAGGACCCAGAGTGTTGTTGTGTTGCATATCAGACAGAAAACTCACCCTCAGATGTTAGGCACTCATACATAGGATAGCCCGACGATCGTCACTATCACTGACCAATGAAGATGGTTACCAATTTGACGGGATGGCAGCACTACACTTGTACATGACATACACAAAGCTTCTGACAGCTGTCCAATAGCTGACAGTTCATCACGTATTTGTGCAATTCCCAAGTTGCATGCCCTCCGTCCAGTGTAAGTGTAGACACATATTGGAACTGCTGCTCAGGGCGATCTCTGTCAACTTGCCTCCTTGCTGTGGCTTCTATTGCAGCTCCTTGACAACATGAAACAAGCTTTGTAAGTTGCAATCCAGGCTTCACAGCAACAGCGTTTTTAAAATACAGAATGGGTCCCAGCAGAATGCATCATATGGAAGCCGCTATGGCATGGCTTCTTTCATGCCCACCCCAAACATGGCTCCTACCTTCAGGCAGAACAAGCAGGCCACCCAACTCGCTCATCAAGAACAGTCCTTCTCCTCTCATCGTCAAGTAAAGCTCGCCCATCTACTGCAACAGTCAATTCTCACTGTCAATCCCTTTTTGCTGACTGACTGAAACACTTCATGCACAGGTTCTGGCCAACGTATTTGTCCTTCTAGTATTGACAGATTCAGATGGAGGTCTGGACCCACAGGACAGAAGCCTATACCAGCAATTAGGCAATCAAGCCCTCATGCCCAGGAACAATGGTTCTGAAATGGTATGTTTTTGTGTGAATTTCACCAATCGTCTGCAATATCAAGCACTGGCATTCTGACCCTGACATCACAATGCTTGGGCATTCCAACCACAATATGCACAGATGTGACTCAGAACACTCAGCATACAGACATAGAGTTGAACCATGCTACTAAGGCCAAAAAATACAGCTGAACAGCCCGTCAAACAGCATCAAGCATCCATGTGACTGAACAATGGCCTAACAGTGCTGGCATCCACTGAAGAATAACTGGTGCCCATGCACGCACCTGCAGCCAGGAACATGATGGTGCAATGCACTGAATAAGTCACCACAGGTCTTGGAGTCATAACCACTGTTCTAAATCCAAGTGAGCATTCAGAATATCGCTGACACCCATGGGCGATCCTCATACAATTGTGGGCACAGCATTTCACAATTGTTCACTGCAACATTTTCTGTTCACAGGCAATGTACTTGCTGGTATAGTTCTTGGAATGAGGTCTCAAGGACCATTAGTGCATTTGCCTTGCACGAACGCCAACAGACGAACTAGCCATTTGTCAGGATTGCCCTGGAAGAATAGCAATAGAATAGCAATGTTTCCAGTCGTCCAAAATGCAGTGGCCTGGCATATGCAGGCGTTTGCCAACGGCATGGAGAACAAATTACCTTTGACAATGAAAGATTCAAAGAGTCACCCATGCTCTTCAGTCTCTCCATTTGCAGTTGCATCTGCCCAATAATGGGCTGGACATCGAGGTAGAAAGGACACAAACTTGTGGACTCCACTTCTGCCAGAATGTTATCAATCTGAGCAGGTTTGAAGGGTGGACCAATTTGGAGCTCATGAACCATGTTCATGTTCTCACCCTGCAAAAACAAAAAGATCAACCCAAGTCCACATTCATGTTGCTGTGTCAATACCACATGAAGCTGCCTTTTGCCCCTGGGTTGCTGATATTTTCATAAGGAAAGAGCGGAGTAAATAGTCTATTGTAACTTTTGGCCACAGCGCCCAAATAGACCATGGCCCTGCCCCTTGACATGCCGCCCTTTGGTATGGTGCTGCAGTAGAAATAAGCAGCACGTTCATAAGCTCAAGCCTCCTATTCCTTCTGCTGTGTGGGGCAAGCGAATAAAAACCTGAGTCAACCATGCATTCCTGCATGCTGCATGTTGCCCCCTACTGGAGACTATGAAAGGGTTTTGTCAGACTGTCAAACGTACCGTTACTGCAAAGGTCAAGAAAGGCCTGCTCTCAGATTCGCCGGCTGCAAGGGGGACTGATTTGTTCGCCAGCTTGACTTCGATCCTATCAGCCCCATTTGTCTCTGCACTCTTGAACACCCTCCTCAACAGCGACACTTCGAACTCAAAGCCGATCAAGTTACGATAGCGGCTCTCAAGGCGGATGGAACCAGAGTTGAACAGCTCGTTCTGCGCCAGAAGCACACAAGATCCACTGTTTGTAAAACTGAGTCAGCATGTGCTTGACGTTCATCCCTGCAGCTGTTGAATGTGCCTCTGATAGGAAGCGTGCACAGTTGAGAATTCCCACACCAGGTGATCTGATTCCAATGCTGTACATCACTTCGAAGCGCCAATGCTTGCTCCAGAGCGGTGTTTCATACACAGATCAGCCAGTTTTGGTGGAAACGCTGGCCTACCCACAATTGCACACAAGAAGTCTGGTCAGCTCACGATTGCAACTCTGGCGATGACTTGAGTTCCTGTTGTGTCAACAACGTCTTGGACAAAATGAACGTCCTCCAAAGATAGAAGAAGTTGACACGTTTGTCCAAATTTCTCAAGAGTAGGAAGAAGACCTGTCCAGGAATAAGAACCCAATAGAATCAACAAGTAGCCAGGTAGCAGGTGGTCCAAGTAACCGTGTTCTAATGGCCCAACTTTCCTGATTGAATGGAACTGGTGCAGCATCTCCCGCTTGCAGCGCCACGTCCAGCACAAATTTGTAGCTACTTGGGAGTCTCAAGAAAGTCTAGATGGAAGACGCATCGTCGTTGGGCATCGAGATCCGTTCCAAATAAGGATGGAAAGCGTCAAGCGAAGCAAACGGCACTTGAGCCCCACCACACTGCTGCCTTTATAACCGATGGCCACGCCACTTTGAAACAGCATTTGGCTCAGATGTGTGAGCGCCGTGATCCGTCCCCAAGACGGCGCCTGAATCTCCGTCTAGTGCTGGAGGAAAGGAGGGATTTGGCTTTGGTTTCAAGTTGTTCGCGAATCCTGATCCCACTGCCCTTCTCTCCGTTTTGGGCGTTCGACGAGCTAAGAAGAACACTGTCATTTTCGCAACGCGCTTCGCTGCAGAGTGCTCAATGGGCCAAGGGAACATCCGCAGCACCTTTGTCAAGCAACCTTATGCCCTGGTCTGACAGCACAGCCTTGAACCGCATCGCCCCAGGAGCAGAACCCTTATCTGAGGGCGGCGTGCAGCCGGGAACCCACCGACTGGCAGGACGTTCACGAGTCCAGGCAATGCGCCGAGGGAGCAAGCGCGGCAACAGCACAGTCCTCCAGCTTCACGCGCGGACATGCGACTGCGTGTCATCCATGATGATGACCGACACTGACGCACCGACGTTGACGATATACACGTCAACCGGGCGGTGTCAGTATGCACGCACTGCATACTGTGGCAAGCTAGGATAGCAAACGAACGCTTATGCGCTCTGGGCGGTGGGCCCCGGTTGCGAGACTCGCGATGCCGACCGCGGCGCACGCCAATGTGGCTTCAAGGCGCCTTGGCTTTGCGCCGCGCGGCGCAGCCACAGCGAGGCACCTCGCGAGGGGGCCACTCTGCCCCGACGAGGGGAGACGCCTTCGAACACGCCGGTGCCGCTGGCCGTGCGGCGCTTCTGAGGGCGATCGGTCGTTCCAGGTGAAGGGGAGGATGTCACAGGACAGCGAATCCAGATGCCTGCTTGTGCGCACCGGCCTGATGTGTGCAGAGCCACGCACATTTGTCAATTTCCAAGCTGTGCGGGCCTTCAAGGCTTCGATGCCATCGTGCGATACGCCGACGTCGACTGAGGTTCGCGGGTCGTTCCAGGGGAAATATTGGCGTCTAATGGAGTGCGCAACCATCAGGGGATACCCTATTTCTGAGTTTTGACGGCCGGATTGAAGGTTTGATGGCATCTGGGCAAGCAAAGCGTTATTGACATATTGTATGACATTTTGGCATTGTGCCTCTCAGTCAGTCAGTCACTAAATCCAACATGGAGAACAAATGTAGGGCTCTGCGGAACAGAGACGGTGTGCTCAGCGTACAAAAGGAATGTACCGCAATAATACCGCAGAACCATCTCTAACATGTACTCAAATTGCAGCATGAGTCAGACCCTGCCAGCTCCCTTTCCACTGTCTCCCGTTTCACCAAATAATCTTTCACCAAGCATGTTCACATCTCTCAAACATTTGCCAGTGTGGTAGGCACTATTTTTCTGTGTTGCCACAATCACAGTGATGATTGTCACACATCATTTGCACCAATTGAAGGACGAAACGTGCAGCCATATACCAATAAGAAGAGCTGCCATTTGCCTGATGGACAGCAGGTATTCAAGGAGTGAGGGAAAGCGTGTACCTTGCGAGTGCCACGCTCATCTGGGACCATGGCCATTGAACAATCAATCGAACAGGCGTCCTTGACCTAGGTAGTTGTGGCAACCGATTTCATCCCTTTAGCACTGACTTGCTATATAATTAGCGCAACCAGTGTACAATCAGTCATGTTGGAGCCCCTTGAAGGCAGAGCACTCTTCTTTTTGAAGCAAATTGTACTTAGACTATTGTCTGCAGGCATCTGGACGACTGATGTCTTCTTGTTGCACAGTGCAGCTTGTAGGACTGGATGGGAATGCACAAAAAGTTAGCGGAACAATCAGCACCCCAGTTCCACAATATCTTGCCCTGTCTGACAGCAAGTTCTCACTTGTATTTACCTTTGTTCACACCAAGGATTTGGCAAGGGAACTGGAGGATTTGGACAACAGCGGGCTGCACAGCTTCTTGCAGAGACACAGAGACCGAGTCACTCTTGAATTCCTCAATTGGCTGTCAGAAAGCAGCCACTCGAATGGCCACTTGTGGAGTCTTGGGGGCAGGCTCCTTGCAGCTCGGGAGGGACTAGGTTGGTGCTGGTTGGTGTTATTCAAAGGACACCTGAAGCATTGCGACGCTGACCTTGGAACTTCTTCTCATTGACGAAAGGAGCAGGAGCATCAGCGTCTTACAAAGCACTGAGGGCGTTTCTATAGTGTCTTTGGCGCTCTGGTGGCTGCTATACAGAAATTGCACACCAAAATGATGCGCAAAGATGTAACCTACATGGGAACTACCATGACACGCCAATCACCCACCTGATATATGCCTGCAACACTGAAACGCCTTGCGACCCCAAAGTATGCATCTGCCTGGGCAACAATGCTGGCCTTGCCTCCCTGGATTCTCAGCGCTTGCCCCTGTTGCAGTGGAACGCTGCAAGGTGCACCGAGAGTTCCCCCTTACGACAGCTTGAAGGTTGGCATCATGCCAACGTTGTTGTGTGGCATGCCCACCCTGTTCTGTTCTTCAGCAGTACATGGAGTGTGGTGTGTATGCTGCTCAGAATATTTTCTGTGGCACTGCTTGCAGAGCCCGTCAGTCATGAGTGTCTCAGGGACGCTGTTGGGCAGCAGGTTGAGGAAAAGCTGGGCCCAGCTTCCTCAGAGCTGTTCATGAAGCAGTCAGCACCACTCACTGTTGAAGGTCTCCAAGCCATGGAAAGGCAGGTGGGCACTTGCCGATTCTCACATGGTTGCAGAAATTTACGTCATATTTTCCACATATTTGTTCATGTCCCCCAGTTGATATCTTTTTGCTCTCTCAAAGCCAACCCAAAATGGAATCTCTGGTACTTGTTTTCCGTGGCCAAAGGCAAGCTGGAATTTTAAGTGCCTGTTGGACACCCCAGCCTGAAATTGCCCCTAGTGTGGCACTATCACAGGTGTAGACGATAGCACATTATTGAGTAGTGCACCTTTTGTTGATTGCAGATGTTGGAATATGTTCATCCTGCATGGAAAGCGCTGGTGGTGATTGGTTGGTATTCTTTCACAATGTCAGAGCTCTCACACTGAAAGGTTGTGCCTGCCGCATCCTCAGCACACAAGTGTATCTTGTTGTGCATGTGTAGGCGAGGGAGCTGGAAAGTCTCACCCAGGAGGCTCGTCGGCGTTCTGTGACTCAGATTGTGGGGAGGAAAAGGCTGAACGATGGAAACATGACATCAGTATCAGGCCTCGATGTGGCAGTAAGTGTCATCGCATTCACGAATATTGCAATGGCGTGAGTGGTCTGCTTTCTGAAAGGAAGGAAATCGTGGCTTCATCTTCAACATTTTTGCACAGCATTGTCCCTGCGTGGAGCTCGTTGATTGGTCCATGTGGGCAGCCACGAAGGGACAATGAAATTGGAAGCGAAAGAGCACTGTGGTGTGCTGCAAATGCCACAAATTGGCCTTAGAAACCTGACCCAGAAGACAAGCTGCTGCGACCACCACTTTGCACACTCCTAATTGTGCTGCATTTGGCTCTGCATGTGCTAAGCTTAAACCACCGAACGTGCTATGTATTGGAGCAGCCCCTCAGTGGAAAATTTTGTTTTGCCTATTTCCACATTGCAGTGCTCTGAGAGCCGCTGTCGGCGCACTTGCGTGCGTGTTTGATATTCCACATCAATCCAGTACTGCTTACCAGACAGGTGTGTGCGCTGGGTGCACTGAAAGGCCTCACACTCTTGAGGCAAATAATGTGGAAACCAGCCAGTCAGTCCTTCAGCAATGCAAACATTACCGGCTTAAACAGTTGCTTTATGTTCACAGTACTCTGACGACATGGTCCCGATATTTTGTTGTTTTTTAAAATCAGGACCGTATTCTGGATGTGCTGGTGGAGTTAGACAGCAGCGCAGATCTCAATGCGGCACTCGTTGACGCTATCACGCCAGCAGACGCAGAGAAAGAACCCCAGGCACAGCGGCATCGCGGCACCGCTGGAGGTCTGGACGACCACGTTCCAGAAGGCGTTGATGAGGGCAGCTCGCCAGACACCGGGGGCGGGAGCGACACACAGGAGTTTCTTTCCACAACGCCGTTTCAGCTCTTGCGCGTGATCGACTCCAGGCTGGCTCAAATGGCCTGCGAAGATGGCGATGGGGCTGCTGAGAAGAAGTTGGAAAGGTTGCGTGAGTTACGGACAGGAGTGATTAAGAACCTGGAGAATGCAATGGGCACAAGAGCTGTTGAATGAGGCTGCCCGCGTTTTGGCAACCAGCTGTTTTTTGAAGCTCTCTCATCGCGCTGCCGGCCTGGCCCTGCCTGACCTGGCCGCCCGTGGTAGCACTAGGCATGTCGAGATCGCGAGTTATGGTTCTGGTGGTATTGGCTCAAAATAAGCGACAGGTGGCAGGCTTGTGTATGCCATTGGTTGTCTCCCCACGAGTGCTCCGGAAATTGTGGAACCTTTGGGGGGGGGGGGGGCTCTGGCACATCAGAATTCTTCGCAATCGCAGTTGTTGGTGTCCCTGTACGATTCGGAGAATTCTGCATGCATCATGTGCGGATATACAAACGGATATACAACGCTCATCACTCGGGCCGAAAGACGGGGAAAATGCGCATTTAACACCTGTCTCACGCTCTACACTCGGGTGGAAGTGCTGTCAGGACGCCACAAGGTGATGCCCCGGCAGACGTACAACACTACATCAATACATCAGGGAAGACACTTTCGACTGTTGCAGCATGGGGAAAGGCAGACACCATTGGCCGTGGCCGTCGACACGGATATGTTGAGACAGACGCGCTAATCAAGCCCTGAATTGAGCACGTAATGGACCCAGCCACAAACGCGCCAGTCCTGCGAGGACCCAGGACGTGACTTATGAGGCGGCCCGTGCCCGTGCCCCATGCGATCACGATTCTCCGAGACCCCGCCTGTACGTGCTACTAAGGACGTGTGCTCACGACGAAGGCCCCTTGCCGGTCACCACGGCCCTCCCACCGAAGGCCCTGAGGAGTGCGCAGGTGGGCGGGGTGCTGGGCCGGGCGCCGCGCCGTCGAAACGCGGAGCGCAGCGCGTTGTCAGGTCAATTGTCCGCTGAACCCTAGAGTCCCTGCTGCCGGCATTGGCCCGGGTGCCAACCCCAACGCGGGCTGCGTACGACTGTATTGGGCCGCGGCACCGCAAATTGTTCAGAGCAACAGCACTCGCGGGCGCTATGCACGCAATCGGCCGTTGAATGGACGCGGGGGATGTGCACTGGATTTTGGGCGCGGCGCCCGCATGGCAAATGAGGGGGCCCATTGCGTGAAGACCGCCCGATGCATGGCGATCGCCATGAGGAAAGCTGTGCTGCCAGGCGTTCGATTTTCGATGCCGGCGGGCGGGATGGGCTCGACTGCTCGGGCGTAACTCGCTTTTTCCACCACGCCCTGCGCACTCTGAAAACAAGGTCTCGTGCGCCTGAAAACCATTGCGCGACGCACTTTCCCGCTTTCGATTCTGTTCGCCGACGCCGCGGTCTGCTGCGTGGGAGCGCCCCCTGAATCAACCCCGCAGTGGAGAGCGCGCTGGTGTCCGGACCGGCGATGTTTGAGCAGTGCGCACACCTTGGAGCCCTCTCTGCTGACCCCTGGCACTTGTGTCTCTCTGAAGGGCGGACATGGCTCCCAGGTATGCCGCCGTGGCGGCATGCCTCCTGTTGACGTGCTGTCTGGGGGCGCTGGGCTGCGACGTCTGGGGCAACTGCGCAGCATGCGTCAGGAAGGCGAGCCTGCAGAAAGCCAGGGAGAACAGGGACGCGCTGCTGCAGTTTCTCGAGAACAGGACTTGTGAGAATTGGGGAGCGTTGAAGTTCAAGACCGTCGTATTTAAAGGCCAGATGTTTACCAGGTGCGTGTCTGGGCGCAGTGCACCAGGTTTGGGTGTGCTTGGTTGGCATTCAAGGCAGCAGTGTAGCCATGGGGTCGCCTGGGTGTCATGAGAACAAATCTCTGGCAGGTTTGCACCTGTTCTATCCCCAGCGAGCGGTCAGCAAAAAATGAATATTTGAGAGCTGGTTTTGATTATTCCAGTCCCTGGTTTTGTATGCTCTGTGAAGCAATTCATTCGCATCACAAGACGCACAGGTGTGACCAAATCCACGACGAAGTCATTACGCCCGCTGAACACATGCTGAACTTGTGTCTGCACATTACTGCAGCATACCAAAGGCGTGCTTGACCTATATTGCTCCACATTGTCCCCTTGTGAGTGTCTGTTACCTGGTTGGGATGAGTTGTTTGCTTTTCTTCCCAGTGCCCCTCGTGCACTGCACTAACCAGTGCGCTTGTGAGTGCTCTACAATAGACAAACACAGGTGCTCTGCCAAACACTTCAACCTATTTATTGTGGGCAGCATGCGTTTGGGTTGCTTGCTTGGGCCCACGCACAGCGCCAGGTAGAGCAGCCTCCACAAGTGCGTACCTTGTGCTGCTTGTCACTCTTTTGTGTCTTTGACTGGTTGTTCACTCTCGTGCCCTGTTTTCCCCAGCTGCATGACCTTCGACGGGCACGAGTTCCCCGGCGGCAGCTACTCTACCTGCGAAGAAGAGGAGGACGTGGAGGTCCGAATCGATGAAGACGTATCGATCGATGCGGAGGCCAACACGACCAAGTGGCTGGCGCAGGATGGCCAGTTCGAATGCGAGCCGGATGGAACGCTATTGTTCAATCGCGGGCCTGGCAGGCATGAAGGGCTTGACGACTTGCACGAGCCCCACAAGTTCACTCCCCACAACCTGGATTGGCCATCCGACACGCCGATGGTTGGGTTCCAGGTCTTTGGGCATGGCACACGTGTGAATCGAGACTGCTATCCCGTCTGTACTCACTATTGCTATGACGTGCCCTCGGCTTTTTTGGTCATATACGACGTTGTCGACGGCAATGAAACAAGCGTCCTTCCTGTGGTGAAGGCTTTCGGAGGGTGAGGTTCGAGGACCAGAGGGTGACAGACTAGATGTGGATCTGTAGGAATGTTAGCGGGTGTACAAGAGGTGCTGCATGCCGCTACATAAATCGAGCTGCTTGTGGCTCGAAAGGCCCGCCAGTTGGCTGGCCACGGCTGCGCACTGGGTTGCATTGCTGCCTAAAATTCATGGCGCCCATTGCAAGGAAGGGCGATGGACACGTTGACGGAATACATGTGAGTGAGGGCTTTGTTTCCTGGCCCCAAGCAGACCGCCAAATTGGGGTTCGCAACGCTCTTGAAGAAAGACGGTTGGGAAAGGCTTCACAACTTAATGCGCAGGGAGATCGGTAAAACGTTTGTGGAGTGGTGTGTACAATTTGCAAAGAATCATGAGGCAGATCCTGGAGCGTTGACATGTAATATGATCTATGCCTGATTCCCATTGTTTGCTTGTCGGATTAATGGACAGCTGGTGGCCTCCGGCAGCGTGGGTCCCACAAAATCCTTGCGAGGCAGCTGCATGAGTCAGAAGCGCATTAAACTGGACATAGGCGGGGCGCATATCCAAATGATTGCAGCCATGGCACTAACGCAATTGTGAATAACATGCCCCGAATAGGGTTTCAAGTTGAGATACAGACGGGTCATCAAATGCAAACAGGGAGATGTATGTATGTAATGATCGTTTATCGCCGAAGAAGTAGAAACCGACGCCGAGAGCAGGCACGAAAGTGCATGGTCTTTGGACAACAAGAGGCGGGTTTGATGCTGAACGGTAAATTGGCCTTAATTGGCACGACGATGTTTTGCGCACATCCCATCAGCGCTTACTCATGTGGTCAATATTCACAGAATATCCATGGCATCTTCGATTTCAGATCGCAATATTTCAGATCATGTTGTCGTTTTCGTGATGGTGTCTTCTTGCTGTTCAGTGTTCGGGTCGCCAATAAATGGGAACAATCTGACATAATGATTGGCAGTCAATTTGTCACTAAGCTGGCGCCCCGTGAGGCCCAGAATGTGACTTAGAATTCAGCGCATAGGCCATGGCAGACTGGGGGCGCAGCATTGAGGATCAGATCGTCAACAGGAAGGACATTGAGCATCATCAACGGTCATTTAAGCCATGGCCAGAGCAGCACAATGTACACGCAGCTGTGGGCATGCACTACGTCAGTGCATTCAACTCAGTCTTCGACTGCGACTCAAGGATATGATGGCCAGCTCGTCCATCAGAAAATGAGCAAAGATGTCGGCATGTTGCACGTTTGGTTCCTCAGTGACAGCTGCGAGGAAGGCCGTTGGAATTGGCCGGGGTCTCAAAGTCAGAATGATGTGAAAACGATTCGAGATGGGTTGCGCAGATGTGTGATGTCGAATCTTTTCTATTTTCTACATTTGGTGGTTTTTATATTCTCCTAGTGCCAGTTGACATCCAGAATGGGGATATGACCCATTTTCTGAATGAACATCAGAGGTGGCATTTGTTTTCCATCTGATGACATGGATAGAATGGCGATGGGTGCGCTGATTGATTGACATATATCACTTGAATTTCCATGATGGCAGCCGTGTGAAGTGCGGCGGTTTTCTAATCGAATCTGATGACCGAAGGGCAGAGGGCTCACGTGACATTTTTTTCTGTAGCCCAGGCTGCGTGTTGTGTGGTGTTGATGCAGTCCTTGCATGAGGATTAAGCGAACGGCTGGCAATAGCTTACAAATATGGGGCCCCCGTTCGGGGAAGAACGGGCAGGGAGGGAATCGTATGTGGACTCCCAGAGTTGATGCGACTTTTCAAGGAACAAAATAGATTTGATGCATCGACATGTACCATGTTTCGAGGTTTTGAGGGGCTATTTGAGATGGCCGCGCTGCCTGTTTTTGAAGGGGATGCAACAGAACAAACAGCAATTGTGACACAGACCGCGGCAGGTAGCCCGATCAGTCTGGCTTCAAAGCCAGCGGTTTTCGGTCCCAGACGTTCAGATTTCGGCGTGATGCACCCATGGCATGCTCATCGTTCGGGCTGGTTGAGTGTCTGGCTGAATCTGTGAGAATCGCTAAGGTTTCTGTCAGCATTTCTGCCCATGCCCTGTTGGATTGCATGCGCCTGGACATGCATGGCCAGTGGGCAGGTTTGTCCGTGTTTCTGTGGCTGATTCGCCAGTAACATGCATGAAAAGCGACCCAATCTCACAGCCTTTTGTTGCTCTCTTCAGCCGCTCTGGGGTAGGGGATCCCGTCCGGACGGGCGAATGTTTTACAGACTTTCGCTGTACTACCCGGAGGGTCTGGCCATGTTTCAGCCCCAATGTTTACATCTCCTCGAGGAAGAACATAATAACAGAGCTCTGTACTTCCGTGCTTGGGGGCCAATGCGGTTAGTGCCTAGCAATCAGCTTAAATTCGCCACGTAAGACTGATTATGCTCAACCTTGTTGAAGCCCGTCCATGTATGTCTGACTGCACGGCCCGAGTGCTACAACGCCAAAGTCAAAGAAACTATACCACGGACTTCTGAATGCTACCAACAACTCGTATATAGCTGAGATCCAAGCGGCACAAATGTCATTCAGGATGCAACTACTGTTAGTGTTGCACCAGCGTGGCAACCATGTTGTTGAAATTGTAGTCTGTGTGATACTCTTGTTCTTTGATTGCCAAACTCGACGACCTGTCAGGAGCTGGGCGTAAGACAGCCCATAATTGCACCAACGCCGGGATTCACAGATTTATTCTGGCCGCGATGCCCTCACGCCAGCCCAAAGCCTCTCAAGGGTTTCACACGGTGACTTTGTACAAGCAAGAACTCCCCCTGCTGCGCAGCCAGGGTTCCTGGCAACAATATGGCGGACGGGCAGGAGGCAGGGGGCGGGTGGAAAGAGGACCCGTACGTGTTCGAGGCCTGTGAGGCGAAACACAGTTGTGTATACACAATATATTGTGGTGGGGACCAAATAAAAATGGTCCTTGAGGCCTTGAGGCGCGGTGGAATGTAAACGACTGTATTTGAATGAAATTGAGGTAAAGAAAATTGAATGCATCTGAGTGGGTTTGATTGCAATTGACCCCGTCGTCCCCTAGCATTCCTTGGGCCCTATCCGCTCCCCATGGGCCAGCTCCTTCTATTTTCCCACAACTCTCGCTATGGACTGTTCCCCGTGCTCCCGCTGACTTAATTTCTGCCAACTTCTCGGGGACCGGCTTTACTAAGCTGGAGTTTTTTCAGGGAACCTAATTAACTTCGTACCAATTAATATTGAATCTGGTACCAGAGTGCCGCGTAACCAAAAATTGAAACTGGTACCAATAAACGCTGATTCTGGTACAAACTGCCGGCGTACCAAATGAAATTGAAACCGGTACCAACGCATATTGAATCTGGCACAAAATTTGCGCCGGTACCAAAAATTGTTGAACCCAGTACCAATTAGTCATCATATTGCCACCATACATGATTCACAAACCCTAAACCCTAAACCAAAAACAAACCAACCAAGCACAAGCTCAGTGCTGGTCGCAGGCTACCATTCGATGACTAATTGGCACTGGGCTCAACATTTTTTGGTGCACCGTTCAACATTTTTGGTGCCAGCGCATATTTGGTACCAGATTCAATATGCGTTGGTACCGGTTTCAATTTCATTTGGTACGCCGGCAGTTTGTACCAGGATCAGCATTAATTGGCAGCAGTTTCAGTTGTTGGGTACGGCGGCAGTCTGGTACCCGATTCCAATATTATTTGGTACGGAGTTTGATTATACGCGGTTTTTCGGTTCCACCGACCCCTTCCAACCACCATGCATGACAGCACAATTGGGTACACGCTAACTATTGAATGGCTGGTCGCTTCGCCAAGGCGGCGGCAAGAGTTGGATGCTCCCGGACGCTGACGACGGTTCGTACGCACCGGAGTGGGAGGGCGACGGAGCGGGCGGCTTCGGCCAAGACGTCGGCGCCCTCTTCCTTCAGCCGGAGGAGTGGGTGGAGGAGGATGTGGCGGTGGGAGCGAACACCTTCAGGGTTCGGTGCCTGGCCGGAGACAACAGGCACATAAAGAGCCAGACAGGCGGGGCTCCAGGGCATTGCGGGGCTCCAGGGCATTGCGGGGTCATGTTCGATCGCGGGGTGGGGTGAGGGGGTGTGACTCGTCGTCGGGCGCACAACGACAGTGCGGATGTGGGTCCGACGTTGGCTGCAAGCTGCAAGGGCGTTGTTGTGCGACGAGGCGAGTGCGATCGAAGCGGATGTGCACGTTCACTCGTTCTGCAGACAAGGCAGCTGTGTGCTGCACAAGGAGTTCCCTCGCGCAGGAAATTTGCATCGTTAGCCCAGTGAAGGGATATGAAACAACAGCATTCGTGTCGATGGTGGAATTGCGGAATGTCTTGGGTGTGCCATGTTGACTTGCGTTTCGAGTGCCCATTGGGTTTTTAGTAGCCAGTCAAAAGGGGGCATTGTTGCAGTTGGTGGAGTACAAAGACGTGCATGATGCACTGGACATGCGTGCGACGGTCCTGTCTCGTGAAATTTCTGCCAAGTTTGCTTGTCTGCGACATCTGACCCATGAGTCATTTAGTAGCCCACTGGATAGACTAAGCAACGTGGTGTTCGAGCTTTCGAAAACCTAAAAAGGTGCAGCAAGGACAAATTTATGGTCCATTTCTTTTGGAGTTACAGCAGGCAAGCAAACTGCCAACAATGTGAGCTGAATCATGCCCAGCTTGGGTATATTCGTGCATGACCATCACTGCGTCATTGGGCTGCAACTGCTGTTGAAAGGATCGCTCTCAACCATTTCCAAATTAGTTGCTTACATATGCTGCCTGGACGCCTGCAGAAGTGCTCAAACGGCAAATTGAGTCATTGTAGGATGAATGAATGTATCCTTAAAAGGGCAACATGAAAATTCGACGCACTTGTCACGTTGAATGTCTCCACAGAACTCAAATCGTCAGACTGCGGGCCCACACGTGTCCTCACAATGCTCGGCAGAAACATCCTAACCCCCTTATTGCAGAATGACATTGTTGCTGCATACGAAGGAAACATGACTCACAAAATGCAGTTGCTGTGGATGTTACTGTTCACCACTGTATAAGTTTAATGTTCAAGAGTATTTCTTGAAGAGTAGCATCCATTGTTATTCTTATTGAGACAGCAGGGCTTGTGCCTGCTCCTTCTGGAAGGCCTGCTCATTGCGATGACCCCTGCCTACAGGCTTGATGCGATGGGAGGGATCAGCGGCATTGGCCCGGTTCATTGCCAGCTCAAAATCGCTGCTGCTGAACAAAAGTGTGCTTGAACTTGGTTGTGGGACATCGCCACTTCCCTCTCTGGCTGCCCTCGCTGCACAGCCAACAAAGGTCTATGTCACAGATGGCAGCCCTAATGTTGTGAATATGGCGGAAAGGAATATCATTGGAAATTGTGGGATTGTTGATACTTCAAGAGCACAGTTTCGGGTCATCGAATGGGGTAACAACGAACAGATTGAGGACATTGTGCAAGAGGTACCCAGTGGATTCGATGTTGTGCTGGGCGCTGATGTCCTGTACTCCAAATTGGCTGTGCCACTTTTCTTCTCAACGTGCACAAAGCTGCTGGTAAAGAGCAACACTGCAAGGTGACTACCAATGCTGCGTAGATTGGTGTACTATGCTTCAGCAGTGGTTTTGGGGACATACAGAATGCCAAGAAGTGAGCTGCTGCAGTCTACACACTTTTCAATACAACTTTGACAGCAGAACATGTTTGGTGTAGCGCAGGGAAGGACTTGCACTAGAGGTGATTTAGTTCCAAAGTATGCAAGTCCGGGATGCATTCATGTGCTGGGAAGTACTTGTTTCTTCCTGTACTCCTATGGTCATAATGTCAGTGGGTGGTCACAGTCGCTCAACCCAGTGAGGCATCTGGCAAAAGCATTTCTGAGCACTGCTTGAAAGGAAGACTCATTGCAGCTGTATAGACTGGTCTATAGTAGCCTTCTCGTTGAGGACTGCTCTCTGTGTGTTGCAGACTACTTGTGTGCTACATAATCAGGAGTGTCAGTGAGGCAGAAGTCCTTAAGTGTGCCAGATCTGCCGGATTTGAATGGGAGTCACTGAAACACCAGCTGCCGACAGCTGAGGGAGATTGCCCATCCCTCCAGCTGATGATGTTTCATAGGGCTTGAAGACAGACTCCCCACAGGCAGTGTTGAAACACAAGCTTGCTTGTGAAGCCGAGTTAAGACGTTGTCAGGTAGTACAGCTCGAATATAGTACAGTAGGCATGCATTCTCAACTCCGGCCAACCCCTGCCAGGCAAGATGTGTGCAGGGACACACCTCGAACAGTCGCTGTTGATCCCAATGTTGTACCTCAAGGGATGGCAGCAGCAGCAATCTTGTGGTATGCTTGGGTGATGTGTTGCAAATTCCATGCATGAGCTTTGAAGCACATTACATGGGGTGGGGGACTTTTCTGTGGGGTGCCAACACGTCCCATGACAGCTGTCGATGTGTGGCAACGACAACGGCGATAGGCTGTTTGTTCCAAAAGTTGCTGACCACAGCATTTGGATATGCAACATTATAGCACTTGTTTCATAGCTGGCCTTCAACACCGGAGTCCAAGCAGGCATCACAACACGCAACACAATGGAGCAACATCGCATGCAGAGAGGAGCAGCATCAGTAGTTATCCAATACTACGTCTACAGTTTCCATTTCTGCCTTTGCCAATTCTCTGGCGCTGTTTAGAACTGGCTGACCCCAAATCATTTGCTCTTTCCCTTCACGCACAAGGACACAGCGTCTTGGCGTGGAAACACACGCCCGTGCGGGCACGCCAAACAACTGCCCATGTGACCGACCAGGCGAAAATCGCTGTTCACCAGGTTGTTGGGGGTGCTATGTAAAGGGAGTGGACTGCCCTTTTCCTTGCCCTCGGTTCGGTACAGGTGTGGGACGTTCAGTATGGTTCGATCCCTGGTGTTGTCATGCGCTTTGGCATTCAAACACGCAAGCCCTGGAATGCCGTACGGTGCTGTGCTGTGCTGTGCTGTCACTCTTGTCGCGGCGGCACCACTTTCACCGAGGCGGCCCATGCTGCAATCTCTGGGCACGCGATACACGTCGCCACACTGTGAAGCTTGGCAAGAGGTGTCTCGCCAGCACGCTTCCCTTCCTCGTCAGCCCGCGTCCCCGGCCGGTCTGCCGACGGCCTTAAACTGCTGCCAGGAGGGGCACAGCGTATTAACTCGTCGCCTGCGGGGGTGGCTCAGGACTCAGGCCACGTGGCTCCCCCCCAGACGCCTGCCTGGCGCCGCGGAGAAGATTTGTGTCGGCGAGGCGCCTGATCGCCGCGCCACTTGTCGACAGACCAAATGCTGGCAGGAAGGGCTTGCACGGGGGCCGGGAGCCATGGCCCCCGAGTGACCCCAACGCCTTCGGGTGCGTCCGGATGGTTATACTTGCCCTCCACGCCATGATCAGGACGCCCGCAGACCAGCTGAGCTGGCCAGGGCATTTGCCCAGCCGTCGATTCGTGTTGAAGACGCTGGCTGGGACGGATTGGCCGCCCGTGGTGCCCGACGTCACCAGTGTTCTGCTGTGCGCCTCGCAGGTTGGCAAGCGCCAGGGGTTTCAATCGCGCACGCGCTTCGCGGGCGTCCTGCGACGTCGGCGGCCTCCCCGATCAGGCAAGCAGTCCCACCCCCGTCCCCTCCCTTGAGAAACACCGACAACCCGTGCTTTTAATGTTCAGAAGTTGCTGAACTGGCAGCGGAGTTGCTGCCGCTCTGCCCTCGGGGGTGTTCCATCCCAGACCCTTCCGTCTGTCCCAGTTGCGCTCGCAACTCGCCGGCGCGCCTTGCGTCATCCCGCCCACCTCCCGGGCCTCTCCCCATCCCAACAGCATCACTGACCCAATCGGCAGCAGCCAGCGTGCGCCAAGCCGCCCAGCGCGCATCAAGTTGGTCGATCAGGCGGTTTCTCACACTGAGGGGGCTGCGCAGGTTGGGCGCTGCGATACGAGCTGCGAAAACTATCTCCGCCCGTGCCCAGCGCCAGGATTTAGAGAGGGCGCCCAGCACGGGATTAGCGGAGGACTTGTGGGAACCCGGTGACAGTGGTTTCGGCCGGCCGAACGGGGTTTCCGCCTTCGACTATGTGAAGTACGTGGCCCTTGCTGTGTCCTTCACGGCGGCCGCGTACACCTTCCACCCGCAGCTGGTGGCCTTCTCCAACGACATTCAAGAGACATATCTCACGGGGGACCTGCTGGTGTCCGGCTCGCGCCTGTTCAGCTTCCTGTCGCTCGTGTTTTCCATCCTCGTGGGCAGCACCTTCAAGTATCAATACGGGGTGAGCACCGGCGGCAGCCAGGGGACGATCTGCGAGTCTGTGTTGTGTTTGGTGCACTGTGGAGCCTCACGTGCAACGAGTGACTGGGGGTTTGTGGTGATTCTCTCGAAATGCAAGGAATATCAGTGGAATTGGGGCGGGTGCGGCGGAGTGTGGCCAAGACACAAACCGTGTTGTGGAAGCCCACGCTTGTGGCTCCACTTGGGGGCTCTTGCTGGGATCAGTCCGAAGCAAGGTCGCGAGGGTCGCCTTGTGAATTGCGACCGCCACACGCCTCCGCTTTGCAGCCGAACAGACATTGACTTGGCCTGGCAATTTTCGTTTCGACTTGCCCCGTGTGATGGTGACGGCGTTGCCTGCGCTGAACAGTGCTGGTGGACACTTGTTTGCACCGAATCGTACTGCACCAATCTGCAAAACTGTTGGTGCTGCCCTCTCCCAATTGCTGCCCTTGCACTTTGTTGTAACTAGTCAGAGTGTGGAGACATGCTAGAAAGAGCGTACGAATGAGCATGGATGTACGAGCGTTCATCATGACTGTACATGACCACTGTCTTGTCCCCAAGGCAGCAGTGATCGAGGGGAGTTCAACACGCAGACGCTCACCAAAGCCTGTGTCAGCCTTCTTCCTGATCAGGTGGTCCTGAAATGCGAACTCCAAACAATCTGTTGTCACTTATTCCTCATGCCTTGTAATCTGGTGTCCCCTCTACAGAGACAACAGGCGTGCCTCAGCGCTTTGTATGATGAGGTGCTCGCGTTGGAGATCTTTTGGAGGCAAATTGAAGATAAGGCACCAGGCATATCGCAAGGTGTGGCGCAGAAGATGAGGTACGGGGATTTCTCTGAAAAAGGAAATTTCAGCACGATGGTCACAAATTGCCAGCCATCAAGCTCATAGCACAACTGTCACATGAACTTGCCTGAGACAGAGGCGTGCGCCTTGTGTGCAGATTTGCATGTATCATCCTCGCTGCATCTTGATGACCTTGCTGTGGTTCTTCTCCTCAGCAATTTGTTCCGGATTTGTGCCATACTCAGCTGTGATCTTGGGGAATTGGCGTGTTGTTTTGAATACGAAGGGATTCCCTCTGTTGTGCAGGGCCTACATCAATGGGGAACTCTGCGCCACAACTGGAAACAACTCTCCTTTTCGTCCAGATTCGCCCATAATTGGTATTGTGGCATTGTTGTCGACACTGCCAAAAGACCCTGCTTCTGAACTGAGGCAGGGCCTCAACAATCTCTCTGTGGCACACACAAAAAGAGCAGCTGCCGCAGTGGCAGTTTTGCCACTGATGCATTGGGTAAGTCAACTAAATGGATGATCACTTGGTCCATGTTTCCAACCCAGCACTAGTGATCTCGACGTTAGCAGCAAGCGAGCCCCACTTATGGCTTGTTGGTTCAGGTGCCCAAGTGTTTTAGGTTGATTAAGGGAAAAGAACATGGAGAACACAAGTAGCAAATCAATTTGTTGCTTTAGGTGCTTTCACCTTTTCCCTGATTCTGTCCATGATTGGTGAAGATAATAAAGTCTCCATTGTCTTGCGTCAGGATAATATTATGCCCCGATGGAGAAGCGCGGCCTGTGAACGTGCAATCTTGTTGGGATCCCGCAGCGTCAGACACTTGTTCTTCGGGCCATCCCAAAATAAGGCATCCCAGGAAACGTCATTTCGTGCTCTCTGCTGGTTTCCCACTGTCCTGGTGTGTGGTTGCGGGCCGCAAAATCGTCGCACTGCTCTGTGTTCCGCGTTTCCAACGTCCCTTGCGTTCGCAGGTGATGCTGTGGGCCCTAGTCCTCACCTTTCTGGGGTCTTACCTCATCTTCGAGACGCCTGAGTCTGTGGTCCCTGGGGACATGGTGAGCAGCCAGCGCCTGATCTTCGCCCTGCTTTCTGGCTTGAGCTCCTCCATCGTTTTGATCGTTCAGGACCTGTCCAAGCCCGTGGAAGGCACATACTCCCTTGTGCGGCCGCTTGGGCAGAGACTGAAGTATCTGAGGGACGAACTGTTGTCACACTGAACGCAGCTGGAGGGGCGTCCTTGAGCCATGATGGAAATCTGGGGTCCTGTCCACCCGTTGGCGCTGGTGCATCGTCAAAAGCATGAATTCGCTGGTTGTGGATGAATGATTTCTCGCCTCTTCCACGGCATGACTCTTAGCTACGCTTTGTAGCCTACTGACGAACGAACTGGGCGCCCAGTGTGCTTGTGCTTTAGTATGGGTGGCGTACGTGCAATAGCACAAGGCGGCGGAACTTGTGGGTCATTTTTGGGGTGCATCTATGAAGCACTGCAGGTGTATTTTGTGGTGGCCTGCCAAAGGATGCAATGGTTAGAGCACAATGCGCGGAGGTCACCAACCACGCCTCCTGTATTAATGCATGGGATCAATATATCGCAATAGGACTCAGCACGCTAGGGAGGCAAAGAAATGTATTTCTGGGTGATTTAGTCGTTGCTTTGCATGGGAGGAAAAGATCAGTGAGCGTTGCTCGCCAATTTAATCCTTGCGTATGTCAGTGATATAATTGTGATTATGAATGGATTCATCAGTCCGTGGCCCAGCAGCTCTGGCTTCGCAGTTTCTGAGCGAATGTCCAGCCATATATTCCCATGGCCAAGGTGATGCGCTAAGATTGCCTTGTTCACATATAGTGGAGCGTTTTCTGCAGCAACTGCTGGGCGTTGCAGTTTCGAATGCCGGCTGTGGCTTGCAGCGCACGACACATGTTGTCCTACCTGGGCCTCCACGTTGCAATGCGGCCGGGCAGCATGACTTTGTCTTGCCGGGAAAGCTGCATTGGAACGCACAAACCAGTTCTCCGCGCTCACAGTGGCTGTGATAGCTGTCCGTGCAGCAGTTTGGTCTTCTTAACGGAGTTTCAGTGTAGAGTAGGGCCATGTCGGCGTCAGGGCATATTCGGGTTGATGTCCTCTGCGTTCAAGTGTATATTCGCCCACCCGAGGCTGAGCTCGGAATGCGCTTGGACAGAGACTGCGGAGCTCCGACTGCGCAACCAGCAAAAGTACTGGATAATTGCTGGATTAATTACTGGATATTATTGGATTTCGCGTCAGATTCTCCTTGCCATCGCTGCTACCACTCCGCGGCTTGCAGCGTTTTGTGTCCGTGGTCGGTAACTGGACACGTGAATGCCCCACAAGCGCACACCTTTCCCCCGTTACACACATTCCACTATGGGGGGAAACGGTCAATAGCTGTCGACGCCGATGAAGGTTGATGCGCACGTAGTTCAAGACGAGATATTCGATCGCTGACGCTCCAGTGCTGCACGCTCCGGTGGTCAAATCACATGCCAACCTTCATTTGGTACTGATGTCTGGAATGTATTTTGATTCCTTGGCGCTCGCGTCCCATGAATCAAAGCACCAAAGCATCAAAGCACCAAAAGAAACCACAGCACCAAAGCCACTCCTTGGTTCTACGAGGCATACACACCACTGCCGTTCTCGTTGAACAGCGGCGGGCATGGGTTGGAGCCACACCCAGGGCACACGAGTGTGCCCTTCGGGGGAGAAGATCAAGAGAGTTTCGCTGTTTGGACTCGGAATGGTGCATGTGGGCGCTTGAGGTCCAGCAGGATGACCAGTGCCACGACTGAGTAACTCGTCGACGAATTCGGTGGCGTTCACCGGATGTGGACTTCCGACAATCCGGCGACAACACCAGCAATCCGACGCGTTCGGATTTTTGGAACGCTGAGTACTCCAACGTAACTGTCTACCACCCGTTGGACTTCCAGAGTGCCAGGCACCGAAAAGCAAAAGAGAGCACTCAAGACTTCAGCGACGACGTCCAGCGATGTTTCGTGAAACGGAGACGCACGCGTTCACGTCCACAGGCACTGGGTGGCGTGGATTGAAGGGGCTGTGAGTTTGGTGGGCTTGTGCACCATTGGTACTGGTGGAGGGCGACTTCGCCATGCGGGTGTCAAATGTCCAATTGCAGGCATGCAGGGCTAAAGTCCCCCTGTTCCTCACACAATCTGGGAGCTACAGGGGGAGCCCTGGGACGGCACAGGAAGTGTTCACCGTTCGGCGCAGCGAGTGTCAAAATCTAGTGTCCATTGAATTAGCAAATTTGCTCTGAATTTGCAATTTACTTTAAAGTGCCGTGCGGTTGTGACAACGCGCCAGCCGCTTCCTCGCCAGTCTTTCCACGCTGACGTGCATCCTGAAACATCAACATTAAACTACCAAAACTGCGCACTTGCCAGCAAAGCAAGCGGGCGATTGTTATTTTCTCGGCAAATGTAGTCTGAGGGATTGATGAAGGGCAATCAGGCCTGCTGCTGCGCTTCGGCTTCGCAGTGCCAGTACATTACCACTTTTCTTCAAGGCGCCGACAGGGCACGGAGAGGGGCAAGGGCACACATGAAGCCCACCGGCCCAGGCTTGTCGGCGTTTATCTTGCAGAGCCAGGTTGTTGCTTTCTATCGCAAATTCCTGAGGACAGTGCAAAGGGCCCCCGTTGAAACTCGAGGTGGAGAAAGCTACTGACAAACCGCATTCCGAAACAAAACGGAATGGAGGCAATCGCCGTCGAACGAAGGCGGAAATTGCTCACGACTCTCCTTAGACAGCAGGCTGTGGCACTGTGGAATGGGCTTGCTCACCAAAGTAGTGTTTGTTGTCCTGCATTCCCAGTGTCCATCTAGAGTCAACTATGCGTGCTGGCTGCACGGACCTTATGACACTGATTGGAGAAGCTAAGACTAGCTACTGCGTTCCTGACTTCCTCTCTGCTTCCCAGGTGAGCTGAGATCCCACATTCGACAACAGTTTGAAGCCCATCGGAACAGGCAATTGAAGAGGGAGGAGATCAAGTACCTACTGTCTGATGCGAAATTGCAGCTGAGGCAGTTGCAAAACGCAATTGACATAGCCAGATAGAGGAGAATTCGGCTTAGCTGTGGTGGTGGGAGCACATAAGGTAGATGATGCCTTCTTTTTGATGGAATGTTGCAGCCATGGAGCTGTGCCTTGCACAATGCAGCCACTTACTTCAACGCCCTGGCCCCGCCTACCTCGACCCCTTCTGTACACCAGAATCAGATAGGGACAGCATAGCCTCCAGTGGCACCTTTAGCAACTGTTAGCTCTCCAAGTTGAACAGGTGCTCGTTGTTGGACAAAGTTAATGGGTGGTTTGTGTTTGCCAGGTAGTTGCCTGCCATCGCACAGCCAAGAGGGCAAGGGACTGCTGCAACATCCACTGTGGCATTCACCATGGATTTTGACAAACGCAGGGAACAAGTATTGTCAACCTTGAATTCAAGTGAAGGTGTGGTTGGAGGGTGAATTCTTTCGGGGCAACTATCAGAATGGCCATGAGGAACTAAAGCCCTTGTACTTTGCAGGAGATGAAGTGTGCTGAAAAATGCAAGCACCATCAGGACTGAGGGGCAAATGTCTCCTTCCATGACTTCATTCTGTGACTTTCTTCCACAGCTGCTTTGGCTGATAGTTGGTTCTGATTTGGATTTCATGAGAACCTTGGTTCTCTTTTCAGGCTGGCATCATTGTGTCAGAATCAGCAGCTCGGGCTGACCCTTGGACCTAACGGGACCTTTGCATAAAGTATACGGTCTTCCAATTGTTGTGGCTGCATAATCCCGGATTTGATGCTTGCAAATGACGCACTTGGGTTCAAAAAGCCCTTGCGAAACACCAGAAACTTTGCTGTCACAGCAGGCACAATTCTGCATGACACCAATGAGAGGCACATGGTTGTGAACAACAGCAGGTTGTGATGTTGCACACAGTGTGAAGCTGGTGTTGCTCAGCAGTGTGCATCAGTAAAAGCTTCTGTCTTCAGTGTTCACACCCCCATCATGCCGCCATGTGTTCACCTGTGATCTGAATTGAGGGCATTCCACTGGAGAAAATCAGCCACTGTGAGATGATGTCGGCAGTTGCGCCCTTTTTGCAAGTTGTTTTCAAAGCCATCTTCAATTGCCATGAGTCGTGCATTGACTGCAGCGTGCACTCTTGTGGCAGGTGACAAGTCCAGGAAAGGCAGCATTGATGCTGCAATAGTTGGCCTTGTCGAATTGGTCAATTCTCATGTGGACCTGTACACCACCAGCAGCTGCTCTGGGCGGGTCAGTTTGTTTGCAGAGCCTCATGAGGATGACCGAAAGGAGGGCAAAAAGGGTGGCAAGTGGGCTTTTGCTTCTCATGAATGCCCAGATCCTGAAGATGTCCTAAAAGCCATACAGGACTATTTGGCAGCTGGTAAAGAACAGATTGTGAGACAACGATTCACCACTAAATCTCGTTGCCGGCTCTGTTGAAGATTGCGTACCTGTCTGCTTCTGGTGGTTAAAATCTGCAACCAAAGGACACTGGCTGTGCTTTCCAGCAGCGGTCGTCTGAGCAACCTTTGTGTTCTGCTGAAGGCTCAAGGGGACGACTGGTGTTTCGATTCGAGCCATTCATCTTGGCAGTGGAATGCCGAAACGTGGAAATTGCAGGCATATTTGTCAACTGCGCAAGAGCAGCTGGGTTCCGTGAATCTGGCTTGTCGCTGGGGATTGCAAGCCAAAGGGCGATGGCAGCTGTACGATGCTCCATCAGACTGGAAGTCCCAGTGGCTGATGAGGGGAAGTTGCTCGTGCCTTCTGAGTATGTGAGGTACCTGACAAGAGTCTCAGAAGAAAAGTTCGCAGCCAACCAAATAAGAACAGCAAAATTTGGGGACCTTTTTGTGAATTTGCTTGGTGGTGGGCATCTGGCCAGCCAGCCACCGGCCTCCTGCAGAGAGGAGGCCAACACAGCAGGGGGGCGTGGAGGTGGTCAGCCTGACTCTGTGGAGCAGTGGGCAGACTCCAAGCCTCTTGTGGCGTGGAATTCGATGGTAAAGTCACTCCTGCAGTGTTGTACGACTGTCTTGCTGTGCCACAGTGAAACATTTCCAGGTGTGATATGCCTGCATGTGGCAGTTGCTTGGTTGCAGGTGGATGTAATATGATGGTTGTGGACTGAGAACAGATGCCATGTGCATTCAGCAGTCACGAGTGGCTCTGCTGTGTTTGTCTCATTGTTGCCATCTGTGTTCAATGAATTCGATGAAGGGCATTCCCACCATGGTGCTTTGTGGCCAACATCAGGGGAGGGTGTGGTGTACCAAAGGCCGGCAAGCCTTCAGTGAGCAAAAGAAGATAGCCTCATGCTCCTGTGTTCTGGTCTGAACAGGGAGAAGATGACAACCTTTGTCGCTGGGGCCACTCGATGTGCTGTGTAAATGACCAACTCATTGTTTTTGGTGGCTATGGTGGTGGCAGTGCACACCAAAGATTGAATGATGTCAGGGCGTTAGATGTGAAGCACAAGGTGTTTGTCCAGCCATCCACCCGTGGTGCATGTCCATGCCCAAGGATGGGCCATGCAGCCATAGCACTTGGTGAGAAGCAATATATTTGGCAATGTGCACGCCAATTGCTGTTCACTGTCCTGTGTCATAGCTGTTGCAGAATGCCATTGGGTGATGCCATTTGTCAGGGATCATGTAAAGGCATCAATGGCCCGGTACAGCCCACACGTACCTGAACTGTGTGACCAACATATTGGCATATTCATTACTGGCTCCCTGCTCAGGCTTGGTTCCATAGGGCATTCTGCTTTTCAGTGATGCATATGTTTGTGCATGTGATATACCAGTGATATGTCCAGGACCTGGAAGGTGCCCCCATTGCATGGGCAGTATGTTTTGCATGAACACACTTGTTCAGACACCTGGGAGAGCACACACCACCTGAAACATGCTCACTGTGCGGTTGCCAGCTGTTTTGTGTCTGTGGCCACAATTACCCTAAGCAAAATAGCAGCTGCTTGAAGTTTTCACCTCAGGCAGTGCTGGCCAATGTGAATCAAAATCACTGTCTTTTCCCCATCTTGTTCATTCGCCTACCTTAATACTTGCGGTATTTGCGCAACATTTGATTTGGCCGTGTGGGATGGCTCAACCAGACAGCCATCAGCACTTACTTTATTGCTGCCCTGGCAATGCGACAGGAACCCAAATGATTGTCATTGGCGGACGCACAAGCCCAGCAAGTCCATTGGATGATGTGTTCATGCTGGACACCTTGGATTGGACCTGGGCACCTGTGTGTTGCCAGGGAGGTGCCTTCACTGGAAGATTTCGTCACTCTGCTTGCCTCTGGGAAGATAGTGCAGGTGGCAAGAAAGTACTTGTTTTTGGTGGTTGCACTAGAGATGGCCCAACCAATGAGCTGTTCGCATTGGACACAGACACCTGGGAGTGGTCACTGCTGGAAACGTTTGGTGATGCGCCCAGTGCCAGGATGTCACATGCCTGTGCTCTTGTTGACAACAGTCTTCTGTTTGTGCATGGAGGTTTCAAGGACTATGGCCACGTGTTCAGTGACATGCACTGCTTGAGTCTTGCATCAATGACATGGTCCAAGGTCGAATGCGCCAGTGAATCAAGCATAACAGGGATGCACCTGCCAGCCTGTTTCTCGCACTCCATGACGCTGGTTGGCAGGTTCCTTTTATTTGCAGGCGGCTGCCCACAGACTGGAAGCGGACACAGTGCCCATGGAACCTTGCAAGCATTTGACACTCAGAACAACACCTGTGGGGTCATCTGTGCAGAAGCAACAGATGTTGAGGGCTTCGTCCTCGTGAGGCACACTGCAGCTTTTGTGGATGGCTGCCTATTTGTTGTTGGTGGTGGTGCCTTTTGCTTCAGCTTTGGATCTGTTTTTGGTCGCTGCCACTGGTGCAAAGTGTTGCCTGCTTTGGAAGCACTCTCATCGGCGAACTCTGTGTCAGAAGGACAGAAATCATATAGTCAGACAGTGCTCAGTCCGGTTGTTGGCACATCAATAGATGCAGCGAATTTGGAACTTCCATGGGCTCTTGTGACACCAAGGCTCCATGCGAAAGCAGTGAAAGATGCCTTGAAATCAAAGGGCTGGATTGATACATCATTCAGGTCCACAGAACTGAATGGTGGTGCATGTATTGCCCTTCCCATTTCAGAGAGGGCTGCAGCATGCCTGCAGGCAGAAGGCCATGAAGCTGTGTCTTTCCAGCCAGCATCGCATCGGACTGCGCAGCACCCAAATGAGCACATTGCATCGCCACCCACAGTTTTGATGGCCCTTCCTGATGCCCTTATCCAAACGCTCACATCCGGAGGATATATCACGCGGCTTGCTCTTCACAAACATAGTAAGAGGAGCAGCAGTCCAGCAGATGTCCTGAAGAGGGATCTCCAAAACCTGTTGGCTACCAGGGACTTGAACCCAAGTGAAATTACTGCACTCTTGGAGGAGGTGCCAACGGGGTGGGAGAAATTGGGGGATCTAATCATGCTTCCCCAGGGCAGTATGTGCTCCTCCATGTGGGCAGATTGTGGCCATGAGGCTTGGAAGATCGTGGCTTCTGCCATTGGAGGCAGGCGAGTGGCCAGACAGGCGCACATAGCATCTGCTGGTGGGGATGAGCATGGTCACGTCAACTGCAGTTGTTGCCTATGTTTGTCTTTGTGCTGCTGGCTGTGCCTGTAATATTGCCTGTTTATATTGACGCGATGGTGGTTCTGTCACAGCCAGCTGTGTAGTGAGGTATCTAGAGCACTATTCTCGCATGATGAGCCTGCTAGGGTGTGATTCTCAAATGCCTAACCTGGTAAGATGCAGGACAAGTAGCACAGGAGAATGTCAATGGAGCAGAGTTGCTTTCCTGTCGTTTCCCAAAAGCCCAAGTTTTGGATGCCTGTGATGCAGAAACCCGTGACAGCCAGGCAGAGATGTTGCATGGTGAGAATGGTTGGGTTGAGCATCGAGAGAATGGCATAATGTACAGTTTCGACGTGACAACATGCATGTTCAGTTCAGGGAACGGGACAGAAAGAGCACGGATGGGTGCCGTGTGTTGTCAGGGAGAGACAGTTGTTGACTGCTATGCTGGAATCGGATACTTCACACTGCCAATTCTGTGCCATGGCAAGGCCCAGCAGGTGGGTTGGAGTGTCAATGCCCTTAAGAAGGTCAAGTTCGTGTCAGCTGCTGATAGACAGCAGCAAATGCTGTGGTGCCAATTCGGTTTTTTGGAAGAATGGAACTTGCGCAACAAATGATGGGCACAACACCACACTTGCGAACTGAATGCTGAGAGCCAGCTGTGAGGCATGTTGCTTCTTGTGGACTTTGATATGGAGAACCATACGTCTTGGTGGATATTTTCATTTGTACACTGAGCTCCTCAATGCTCTTTCCACTTGCATTCTGTTGTCACAGGTCTATGCATGTGAATGGAACCCTCCTGCCGCAGCTGCACTTCGTCACAACCTCAACCAAAATGGAGTGGCATCTAGGTGTGTGGTGCATGAAGGCGACTGCCGCAACTTGGCTCCAAAAGGTGTGGCAGATCGTGTGGTCATGGGGCTTTTGCCATCATCCCAGGCAGGCTGGGCCACAGCTGTTGAGGCGCTGAAGCCGGAAGGTGCGAACCATCGACTTGATGATAGTGTGGCTGGCATATTCATGAGTCAAGCAGCACTGTTTGTGCATAGGCAGGACTCAGGTTTGATCAGGTCTTCTTCTGCCAATAGAATGTTGCTGTTCACTCTGTCAGCTTGTTCGGTCTTGCTGCAAAAGAGTGGCAAGCACTTTAGAGTTTTCAGCAGCTGGCTTGCTGCCCAGGAGCGGCGTATCTGCCTCTGCAGATGTCTTGTTACTGAAGTACAAGGGAAGAGGGCATATCATATACAATGGGCACACTTCTCATGGCGTGTGGCATTCTCCTTCTTTTGGCAAACAGGGCATCTCTGGATGCAGGAGACCCCGTCAATCATTTTAATTCGTACAGAAAGCAACCTGCATGTTGAGCATCTTCCAAAGCTATGGAACAACAAGGCATTTGCTTGGGGTCCAGCTGTGACCACAGATTTTGTTCATCCTGTGGTCAGGCGGATGGGTGCATGTTCATGCCAACGTTGAGGAACACAATGAGCAGGCGTTTATCTCCTCCACACAAGACCAGTTCCAGCAGCTGGCAGAGGACAGGGGCATACAGTGGGACGTTCAGGTGGGGCACCTGGAGCGTGTGAAATGGTATGCTCCACACATACGCCATGTGGTGCTGGATGTGAAGATGCACAAAAAGCAGTCAAGCAGTTGTCTGCAATCACAGAGTTGCCCTCATCAGGTGTTCGCACAGGTTCCCACCAGTGCCGACAGGGCAGTCCAGTCTGGGAACACAGTGGCTGATGAGAGCAGTGGCAAGGGAACTGGTGCTGGAGTCACCGCCAGTGAGAATATGTCACAAGATGCTCTACTGCGGTTTGATGGCAGGGTCGCAGTTCTTCAACATGTCACTGAGCAGCAGTTTTGTGACCATGTGCTCCCCGCTAGGCTACCGGTGGTGCTGAAAGGTGTGCACCATCAAGCGCATGTACTTTGGCGTGTGGTGCACTTGGCTGGTTCTTTTTTCTTCCTGCAGCTGAATCGGTTGATGGAATGCTTCCAGTTGACATTAACAGTCTCAATGGGTTCAATTGATTGCTGACCTATAATTCCGCTTCAATATTCTGGTTGTGTCCTTCAAGTTAACGTAATAATGGGCTGTAGCTTGCCAGTGCAGAATTCCGGCATGCAGCACCATACTTGTGAAGATATGCTGTTGCAAACACTATCAATCGTCACATATTGCAGTTGCTCCTTCTGTACTCAGTGTGTGCTATTATACACAAAAGCCCATGTTGCCAATTGAATATGTGACGTCTGCTTCCAATTTTCCAGGTTTGGACATAGGTTGCGCCCCACAGCAATGGACACCTGCATATTTGAGGGATCTGCCGTCGAGTCAAGCCACTCTTGTGGGCGTCCATGTGTCCACAGAGCCCAGTGGATGCCTTAATTTTGTCAACAGGAATTTTGTGTTTAAGACAATGAGCCTCTCCGAGCTTGTTGCAAGGTGCACAGGACAGAAGATGGAGCCTTTGATTGGGAACGGAGAGCGATATTACCTGAGGAGCATTGGAGCCAATCCACGAAAAGTAAGAGCCGTGGACTGCAGCCTAGATTCTTTCTTTTTGGACGGGAATGTGTTATTCCTCCACTTCGGGCACGTCTCACGGGGTATGTGCAATGGCAGTAAACACGGGTCTATGACCAGTATTCCTCGGCCAGTCCTCACAACAACTGTTTATTAGCACTACCAGTGTAGGCTGTCTGCGTAATGGCACCTTTTGCTTTCATTCCTTCTGGTAAGCAGAAGATAGTTCCTTTTGTTCTAGACGTGGGAAGGGAGGGGTGGGGGGACACTGCAGGAAAGCCCTCCATGTCTTGTTACGAAATCACGTTGCATGGCCAATGTACCTTCCATTTCCTGCGGTTCTTTTTCACCTCACAGTTGCTTGTGGTTGCGGATGTTGGCCGAACTGATGACTGATGTCTGTTTGTCCTGTGCCTGGCACCCCCCCAGGAGCCATCAAGCATTGAAAAGTCATTCCCAGACTTGGCGCGGTCACTGAATCTGCCTCAGCTCTTTCCTGCCGACTCAGAGTTTTCCAGTGTTCTTCGCATCACATCGCCAGGGGTCAGACTGTGGACCCATTTCGACGTCATGGACAATTTCCTAGTTCAAATCAGGGGAACGAAGAGAGTGCAGCTGTGGAGCCCAGATGACGAAGAAAATTTATATGTACAGGTGGGGGGGCTGGGTGTCCCACTACATTCTGGCGAGGCGGTTTACCTCCTCATAACGGGGCTTCAGCTCAATATACGTCGCTAATGAAACATGCGCTTGAATGTCTGAAGACTAGCTCGGCAGCCAGGTGCAGCTGATTGTGAGCATGGGACGAGACGTTGAGCTGTCGCATATCCCCCTGTGTTCTATATGGATTGTATCCTGAGAGAACGTTGGCGCACGTTTCAGCCCTGGTTTGTCAGCAACAAATTGCGGTCGCGTGCTTCTTCAACGCCCGTTGGACTGTGCCAAATTGTCGCTGTGTCCAGTTTGAGGGAATGCCGCACTGCAGTTCTTTTCGTACTTCTTGCCCTTGTTTTGGTTGCCCCAGGACAGCAATGCGACCGTCGTCGTGGCCTTAGAACTTTCGGCATTTTTTAACGTCATTTCTTCATGCCCACATCAGCTTGCTATGGCATTGCAAAGGCCATTGGTCTCCTTTCCGATGCTGCTCAGGAGCGGCACAGAGAGGTCCACTCACCATGGGGCAAAATTCTGACTCGCGTGCTGCTTGCCAGCCCCTCTTGCCATAGCTCTGCGTGTTCCCTGCTGCATCACCTTCTGTTGTATGGGCAAGAGTCCCAACACATCCTTGCTTGATGATTATTGCATGGCCTTTCCGCTGACATGGATACATAATTGCCAGGGTTCCAGCTCTGAGGTCATGGACGTTGACGATCCAGATTTGGCGCGCTACCCGCTGTTCGCCAAAGCCTGCCGCTGGAAGTGCGAGCTGCAACCGGGGGATGTGCTTTTCATTCCTGCCCTGTGGTTCCACAATGTGTACACGGAAGAATTTAGTGTATCCGCCAACGTCTTCTGGCGCCAACTTCCCAAGAACATGTACGACAAGAAAGATCTGTACGGTAACCGCGATCCAATTCCTGCCACGGAGGCCCTCAAGGCGATTGATGCAGCAGCAGCCAAGCTGCTGGAGCTGCCAAATTACTACAGGCAGTTTTATTGCAAGAGGCTGCAGCGGCAGTTGGGAAGTTTAGTGGACGCTGGTGCTTGTGGGGAATGTGGGATAGAATGATGGTGACCGAGCGGAGCAAAGAGGATATCTCTTGTGCAGCGCGGATCCTGCGTACTTAATGCAATGCAGTGTTCGGAGCACCTCCTGAAAATTCCATTCTCGAAACAGCGGTACGTGTATGTGTGTCGCCATGTGGGATACAGAACGAAAGCGAAGAGTGAGGGGGTGTATTTGGGAATACCCCTCGGTATCAAGAGCACCGCGCGACTTGGTATTGGTTGGCTTGGGCGAAAACAGAAATAATGCGCCAGTTGAGGTGGGGCCTCCGCCCGCCAGTCGAGGTTGCCTCGATTTCATGACGGAGACAACAGTCACAAAACCATGTATTGGGCCGAACCTCTGGTTGTGGGACGACTGGGCACTTGACGGCGAACATGGCAAAGGAAAATCGACAACCGCAACGTACGTTGATGGCCTATTGTCAACTCTGAATGTCTGTCGTTGATGCTTGACGGATGGCGGAAAGTCGTTGGTCATTCGAATTTGCCCCTTTTGCGTTGATCCCCTTCAAGAACTTGTTTGGAAAGGATTGTGTAAAAACGAGACTTCCAACACAACCAAAACAGCATGGCAACAACCGATGGTCGATGGAACGCGTTCAGTGCCCATGGCGTGCTCTATCACCCGATGCAACCGCCAACGCCGTATGGTGAGCTTCGATAGGCAGCATATCTCGGCGTGTAATTCCAAGCGATGCGTCCAGACACGAATGCCAACACCAGTTGGAGCATTCCCGCAACTATCGCGGAATGTGAGTTAAATTCCACAAATTCTTTGACATTTTCTGTGTGGTTGACCTTCATGCTCTCATCTGCTTCGGATAATGCTTCGGGCCCCTATCTGCTACGTCTTTAATGCACTGATGAACCTACCTGCGATTTTGGTTCTCGACAACAACGCACAACATCCCTGGGGCAATCGACACCAACAGAGCCCTTAAAGAAATGGACGCGCTGTGAACCACAACGGTGCTTGAAAACAAGTGAGACAAATGGGCAATGGCAAGGCTCTTCATAAAATTGCCCACCACATGGTTCCCCTGCGCCAAGGCCCTGTTTCTTGTGCTGGAGGCGAGTTGTGCCTACCTTTTTGGAACCTTCCAGGTCATCGCACCGATTGCGGCGGCATCCAACCGCTCACCCAATCCTTTTCGGCGCAGTTTGTTGCGGCTCGTGCAAATCCCCAAATCCAAAGTGCAATAAAAAACCAGGTCTGGTTTCCAGAAAGAAGCGGTTCGTAGATATGTGTTCCCCGGGACTGTACAGGCATTCCAGGGCGACTGCTGACATGCGAAATCGGCATGGCGCAAATAGGCCGCGGTTGGGCCAATCACACCACAGAGGGCAAGAGGGATCAGGCGCTGCGGTGCAGCCCCAAAGCGCTTGGGGGGCGATGGACTGGATTCGGAGCAGGGCGCTCAACGCGGTCACGTGGGCGCTGAAGGAGGGATACGTCTTCGACTATGTGCTGCTCATTGTCTTGATGGTGCTGAACTTTGGAGTCGCCGTGGAGGTGGTGGAGCCCAAGGAGCGTTTCTTCATTCCTGGCGACCCCACGCTGAGCTACCCGAAGCAGGACGACAAGATGGTGCCCAGCTGGCTGCTGGTCTTGGTGGCAGGGGCCGGGCCCCTTGGCATCTTCGCGATGTGGCAGCTGCGCATGAGGAGCTGGGTGGACTGGTGCGGCGCGGCGCTGGCGCCCACTGCCCTTTGCGGGAAACGTTCCCGCACAGACGATCTGTGACATTTTGGCGCAGACGTTGCGTATGAACAATGTGACTCGACAGAATCATCGCCAGCGCTTTCCTCCATGCACTGGAACATCCATTTCAGCGGGTGTGCTGCGCAGACACTGAGGATTCCAGGGCTCAGTGTTGCCAAGTGGATGCCATTCAGGGTCTTCTGACAGTGATGCTCATTCAGAGCCATGAAATTGAAGATGACAGCGTTGTCGTTGCTGCATGCATGTATATTTTGCTCTGTTCGCCACGCTGAAGCTGTTCCATTTTGCCACCCTTCTGGGGTATGTGTATACTTCTTGGATACCATTCACCATCGCCAAAGTCACTGCAAGGACATGTGGGGATAGTCCCCGATGTCCCTTTCATTGTCAGCATTCATGGATCAATGGTGAACGTTGGCTCAGTTCTGTCTGCCCCGTCTGCTGCTGGCCACAGGCACCATTCCAGCCTTTCTGCGGCTGAAGCCTTTGCACTTGCAAGCACCTGGAAACGCTGGATGAACTTGGTTGGACGGCTCCGACCAGACTGGTATGGTCTAATCACGCTGGTGACGGAGAAAGCATCAGCAGTTTGGCTATTGTTTGGTCCGGAGTTGCTCAGCAACTCCAGCCCAGGCCCACGTGCCTCACATGCTGCTGTGAGGGCGTTGCACTTGTATTGACTGCAGTGCTCATAACCCCTGTACAGTTAACATGCAGTGCAGGAAAAAATGCAGCTATGCAGTCGTTGCCCATTGTAGCAGCAAAAGTCGTTCGAACACTACCAGGGGGGTGCAAATCATGAGGGGCTTGGACAGGATATCGCCACAGATAAGCACTGATCCAGGGACCAATCTTGGTTAACCTGGTTTTTCCGATGGATAGCGGGAACACAGCTGTCATTGTTTGCAAGGAAAGTGTTGGGCCATTTGACCATGGCACGATGGTAGAGTTCTGGCAAAACATTGCAGTGATGAAATAGGCCAGGGATCCCCCCATGCATGCAGGGACTCCTTTTCCTGAACAGCTGATGTGCAAATCCTCTGCAACTCACGAAATGGTGAGGACTTGCTGAAGACGAGTAGAATGGCATCCAACAGGCTCTGCATCATAGTGCAACGTCTTCTCAGCCATTTTGCTACTACTTCCTCTGTCCCAGAAAATTTGGCATTTATGACTTGGGGCCTTGGAAAATCCCATCAAAGAATCTCCAAAAGCGCTCAAATTTTGACCAGATGCTAAAGCTTGTGTCAATTTTGACCCACCAAAGTTTTGAATCAATAGGCTAAGCACTGAGGGGGATGTGATCACTCTGACACAGGCATGTCAGACCAAATGTCGTCCAAGTCTCATTGTGGCAAAGAGATAGGCAAGTTTGTGTCGATTACATAATTTTGGAGGCGCCAACGTCCCGCATTGCACCTCTGCGACTTTGCTCCGATCTGCAGGCTGGAGCGTGTGTGCAGCTCTCGCTTTTCTGCTCTGGAGCGAGGGTTCCAAGTCACCATGTTCAGGGGCCGTTTATGGCCAGTTGGAGATTTGGTCCGACATGCCCGGGCCATATCTCCCTAAGTACTTGGCCGATTGAACTAAAAGTTTCGTGGGTCAAGATTAGGACAAATTTAATATCTGATCGAATTGGGGCGCTATCAGAGATGTCTTGATGGGTTTCTCCCAGGCCAAAATTTCCTTAATTGCTATAATTGCCATCCTCTTTGGGATGGAGGAAGTGTTGATGACTAATATGTGCTAATGATGACTTGTGCTCGAACATAAGTCATCTACAACTTCCAATGGACCATTTGAAATGTGCTAAATGTTGTGAATTAATAGTCGAAGTGTTCCAAGCACTGTAGTTTCTGAGCCACCTTGAGGGTTGCATGTCAGTTTGTCCGACATGCCCGTGATTGGGGACCCATATCTCCCTCAGTACTGAGCTAATTGATGCTCAAATTTGATGGATCAAAATCGAGACAAAGGTAAATATCTGCTCAAAATTTTAGCGTTTACTGACGATGTTGTGATGGGATTTTCCAAGGCCCCAAGTAATAATTGCCAAACTTTTTGGGAAGGAGGAAATACAAAGCAGGCAACATGTGCTGTAGCATGTTGCAGCTGCGCTCATGGAACCTACATGGTATCATGCTCACCAGTAGAGGGTGTGCTTGCAAATTGCTGCTTTTCGAGTGCTAGCAATTAACCCATATGGCAAAGACTTGCCTGCAACAGTGAGGTCAAGTAGAACTGTCTGCACTATGGTAGACCATGGTGCAAATAACCTGTTGCAGCCAAAGCATGGGGTGCAGAAGTGGAGTGCAAAATACCTTGCATGGATAGGGCACAGGTGGTACACCCCGAAAAGGGAGACTGCCTTCCCTTGGGCTGTGCGTGCTGCACTGCCTTGGTGCACTCACAGACGTGGCGTTCTTGGATGCTGTTGGTATCTACCTTGAACCCTCGCCGACTTTCGCTCAAATGCAGAGCGTGACGCAAAGAATGAGCGCTGAACCCTATCAGGCTCTCTGAGGCATGATAGCTACATCAGAAACTTGCCGGACCCCTTTTGGGCTGTCCCTTTCGAGTGGTCCAAATTGTAAAGACAACAACTATCAAGGAATACGGCCTGGTCAGGTGGGTGCTGTTACCTGTGTTGCCTGTTCAGGGTCTGTGAATTTAGCCCTGAATTCTGTCGGTTACACTGTTGGGCGTGTTGGCTGTCATGTGTGCAGGATGGAGCGGTGGGAAAGCGGAAATGCGGACGACATAGCGGCTGGGCGCCTGGCATATCCCAGCGGGCACACGGCCTACTCATTTGCGACCATGACTGTGGTCGCATGGTATCTAGTTGGGAAACTGGATTTGTTTCACGCAACTCACAGGGTGAGTCAAAGCTTCCGCTTTTGTTTTCCTGTGCCTGGCAGCGCCGTGCTGAAAAAAGTTTCCATGAAAGCCACCGGTGGGCTCTTGCTCACTGTACCAGCATTGTCGCGTAGCTGCGAAGTTCTCTCCTCAGAATTGGACGAGATGTGAAGTTCTTTCCGATGTTCACCCTGAATCACGATTGGCAAGACCATGATTGCAGTATAGGCAAGTGAAGATCTCCATGTACTGAGGTGGTGCTGAGATTCCCGCATTATAAGCTAGTGCTGGGAGTCCCCTATGATATCTTGTCGAGGCTTTGGGCATGCTGATCTGCCCGTGCACCCGAACACAAGGCAGTGCATTGCGAAGCAAATTGCCATTGTGGGCGCAGGGGCAGTTTGTTGTGGGTGTGGTGCCACTAATACCAGTAGGCATCGCGTCATACATCGGCCTGTCGAGGACGCTGGATTACGTGCACGATTTCTCGGACATAAACGCCGGCGGCCTCATTGGACTCGCCTGCGGGACATACGCGTACTTCCTCAACTACCCCAGGTAGGAGCTGCGCCACCTCGTGGAAACCAAAGCGGCGTTGATGTCAGCTGTCCGGGTCGCCAGTTTTCCAGTGAATTGCACAGAATTGCTGTGTCGCGGAAGGCAACAAAGCCTCCCTTTCAGTGAGCGTTCGTTGTCGTCTGGTGACGCTCGAGTTCGCCGTGGAGCTTCACCCTTCCCGCCCGCTGCAGGGACTGCCCAAAGCCGTGAACACACGCCAACTCGCCGTTTGGGCGCCATCGGATTCTTTCCGGGTTTCCGCATCTCTGCTAGTGGGACTAAAGGGCGGAACGCTGCAGGCATGTGACTGCCTTCCCCACATTCAACCTGGAAGCCTGCCCACCAGCACGAGTCTCACGGCGGTTGCTTTGTTCTGCATGTCCACAAGCGCATAATTGGACCATTCCCAAGTTCTGAACAGCGTCGGTCTGAACAGCGTGGGCGTGCTGACCATCCGCTGTCCTTTGCCACGCAGCCCTTTCTCCAAGAACTGCCACGAGCCCAGACTGCGCTCTCGTTCAGTGGAAATTGCGGACAAACTAGCGCATCCCGATGACCATGGAGAGCAGGAGCTCCAGCGCTCTGGGCTTTTGCCAACTGAGGGGGCCTCTTGATGATTGGTCAGGAGTTGGTGCATCATTTGAAAATTTCTAGAGTGATTAACTACTGTCGGCCTTGCTTGGATGAACACCTGAGCGAATGCATGTAATTCGTCTGTGCCACCGCACTTTTGGATGACATGGCTGGATCCGCATTGTTGGACGCTTGTTTGTCTATTTGCCTGCGTTGGTTTCTCTCAACTTGCTAGTGGCCTTTCAGTGGGTAGTTCTTTGGAACACAAACTGTGGACTCCGCAGTGCATGCTAGGCGGGAATACAGTGCAGACACGCCCCCTGTGCCATCGCGTTCACATATTGAATATGCCAACAAGGAACAGGGTCGCAACGGGGTCACCCAACGTGCCATTGTCAGGGTGCCCTCAAGAAGGACAAAGACATCCGAAACACTATCTCGCGGACCGTGTCTTGCTGCCCCTCAATGTTACCATCTTTTTCATCAATTACTCCCTGGACATCCTCAGCAACAGAAGGTGGTCCACGCAGAGCCTGGGTTTGCGCATCTCACACCAAGACAGCACTATGGCTGAATGTGATGTCCGCATCAAACGCACCTACTCACAATGTGTGCAGACGGTAAGTTACAGTGTTCGTCCCTGTACAATTATGTCGGGCGCGCGAGCAGCACCTTATTCTTGAATTTTCAGAGGGCAGCAACTTGGAGAGTATAGTGCCCGATACCCAAGCCCCCGGGGCCACGACACCACATCCCAGACGCCAACAAAATCCACGAGGCTGTCTTTGGCTGCCACTCATATCAGTGAAGCCACCGCAACCTCCCAAAAGTTCAGCTTGATGGCCAAGTCTTGCAGCCAAACACCAAACCGATACGTCCGGCAACGGTGCAAACTCCATCTACATCAAAATGTGCTCCGCAGCCATTGCAATGGCACCAACACTTATTTCAGTGTCTCCAAATATGACAATGTTGAAACACCGGTGCGCTTAGCCCTCCTGCCTTGCAACACTGTCCACCAGCGCAAACAATCTTTCCAGGAAAACCCTGGGCTGCTTGTGTCGTTCAGTATTGACACACACCTCCAAACAAAACTGCCTCACATTGCAGCCAACCACGTCACACCGTTTACGGCGCGCATCTACCTCACATGCAAAACAAAAGCAAGGCAAGAAAACGCTGGAGAAGCTTTTAGCATTTGTTTGACAGCCTTTGCCGTGTCCACAAAGGTCCGTGCCTGGAAAAATCACCTATAAACAGGGCTTGCTTGCAGCAAGCCACCTGCCAGGGAGCCAACAGGCTACAGATTTACGGCTCCAGGGTCCACCTCCTCCTTGTCTCCGATAGCGAACAAAAGGAGGCTGACTGCCATGATCGCCATGCCAGCGAAAATGCTCTTGGACACGTACTTGTCCCCTTCGTCGAATCGGAGAGCTGTGGGAATGAGGTCCTTGAACGAGATGTACACCATCATGCCCGCCACAACACCAAACATGACTGCGTAGATGATGCTGCCCATGTTGGACAGCACAACCCAACCCTGAAGCACAACGCGGCGGCATTATCGCCGTTCAGGTACGCATCGACGTGTCAGGGCACAGTGGACCACTTCGAAGTGCAGCAGCAACGCTCGCTCCTGGCTTGCTGCCAACAAGTTCCAGAGCGATCGAACAGGGGATTTTAAGCAGACTCTCGAGCTGCTTTTTGAGCACATCGCAGGCACTGTTTTTCTCGGGCGAATTACTAAGCTGATGGCTGCCTCCTCTTCTTCATTTTCGATGTTTATTGACTGATTGAAGCACGTTCTCCGCTATGGAGGCTCATGCTGCTTCAGTGCGATCCACTGCTACAGTCAGAGCTGCGCTAAAGCCAGCGTGTAATGCCTTGGGAGTTCAGCGCCGACCACAGGCAAGGGCCATCGGGATCATAATGTACAGTAGTACTCTTCGTGCTGGGGGAACTCACTTACACGAATGAAGCAAATTGTCAGTCTCAAGTTGTCACCGTAGAATCAGCTCTGAGCTGGAAATCACACAGCGCACATGCTGAACAAGGCGTGCCTTGCCATTTCTTGTATCAACAATGAAACCAATGCACCAGCTGCTCTGATGATGTGCCACTGACCAATCACACTACAACCGTACCTGTCCTTTCAAATGGACAACAACTCGGTAACTTGGCTACAACAAGCTGCAAAACAATCACGCAGCATTGGCATGCCTGGACAACAGTGGAGTTAGCCTCACCAGCACGCCACCAATTGGCTCCGACACACCGGACATGAACGCCCAGAAGAATGCTTTGGCCCTGCTCTTGGTGGCATAGTACACGGGGACGGCAACGACAATGCCCTGCGCACAACAGTTTGGCGAGCGCATCAGCGTTGATTCAAGGTATGCATTTAGCAAGCAGCACGACAGAAGCAGTGTTGACAGATGGAACCCGGCATGTTGCAACAAAACTTACACCCATGATAGATAAGATTGCTATCTGGCCCCAGGTGAGGCATATAACACGCTGCAAATCTGCAGGAAACACTCTTATTCTTTCCCCAGCCTTTGGCACCAGCTTGAGCTAAGGGATCCAATATAAAGAAGCTTTGAAGGCATCCAGACGGGCCAATCAAACCAGCAACATGGGTGTCCAGCATATAGTCACCGAAGTGAAGATTTGAGTATATTGTACATCGTTTGCCAAAGAGTCCAACCACAACCAGTGGTAACACTGCACAACCCCTCCAGGCCATATCCAATTCACAGACGAATAACAGCTGCAGAACATGAGTTGGCCAGTGGGGGTGCAAATACAACACAGTGTAGGCCATGCCATGGCCTCAGTGAATCAATAAGCAGGTCTTCCCAAAGCAGCAGTGTACACTGGTGCATGTCCTGCAGGCACTCCTGTAATTTAGCACCTCTGGAATGTTGTGGATGGCAATTGCGAGTGCGATCCCTGCCCCGGACGTCTTGTCTGCCAGAGCAGAGACAAAAGTTGCCAGGCCCTCTGGAAAGTTGTGCAATGCGATGGCCAGCCCACTCAGCAGCCCTGGCGCAAGAGCCAGACAAACGACAACATTACAAATGAAAACATCTACAACTGTTCAAGCACACAAAGCATATTCTCTGCAAGGCATGCAGCTGTCTGCACAATGTTGAAGGTCTTGTATAAGACGATTTTCGCTGCCGTGGCATTTGGGACACAAATGCACACACAGAACATTTCTTGGTGATGGGTAGGGTGCTCATATGTGATTCTCCTTGTGTCATAAAATTGCCCCTCAATACACAATGTGTTGAATGAAAATTGAGTGATCGAAGTTCTTCTTCTTGTGGACTTTTCCTTTCCTGTACAAATACCAAAGACTGCCTGCCGAATGTCATTCAATTTCTACCACTCCTGCAGGTTAGGCTATTGTCCTAATATACAGGAAGGAGAACCATACATGAAGAGTTCAGCCATGAAGAATTCATGGACAGGGGCATAGGCCACATGCAATGTAAGGAAGGGCTGGTTCAACAGGTAGTGCATACCTAATTTCTGCAGCTGTGCATGACGCTCGTCGATCTCTGCAATCTTCTTCAGGTGCCCGATGCCCTACAAAAAGGGCAACACGTTTGTTAGAGCTTGGGTCCTGCACCGAGAATCACATGAGTTTCACCAAAGAATCATGCTAAGAAGTGGGACAGGACGACACATTTGAAGTGGCCATTCTGTAACCTTAGTTTCGTCATCAGAAATGGATGTTGATTCTTGCCCACGCTCCAAATCCTTTGCCATCATCGGTCTCCTGCCCATCGTCTCCTGTGCAGGATAACAGGCAACAGAATGTGAGCGAAAGAGACAACTATCTCGCAGCCTTCTGCTGGAGGAAATTGGGACAGAAACCATGCACCATGCACCTTGCCGAGATCATATGGGTACAGCTGTCCTTGGTATACACACTGCTGCGAGGCAACCACTTCACAAGGGTCTGATGAACTCTATCGCCAAACTGAGTACTCACATCGACATATGCTTGCGGCTTCTACCTTTGCTGCATAATTGTGGTAAACAAAGCTGAAGACCATACCATCATCTCAAGGACTCCTGTGTAACTATTGGATGTTTCTGAGGTTCTTGGTTACTGTACATGCACCTGTGGGCACTTTTGAGCGGAAGTACACAGCCCACTGCAATGACTTATCGGTGACAGTATTGATGCCTGTACTGGCGCCTGCATGCAATGTCTGCCTCACTGAAAGAAAGATTTCACTTATTGCTGCTGGTGTGCGATATGTGAAGTTCAGGATATGTAAGAAATCTAACACAATTGCATGATTTGTACACGCAAGAATTGCCACGAGGAAGCAAGAATAGGAATAACACCAGCTTATGGATGATTTCTCCAGATGTGGGTGTTGACTTCCAAGCATCTGTTCATGCACGGCACTGCAGGTTGAAAATCACAGCCTTCTGCCAGGGTCGAAATAGAAGATGTCGAACCTGATGGGCGCTGTCTCCGGGGAACGTTGATGTCTTCTTGTCCAACGAGGTGCCCACCATCGTGTGGACAGCCTTGTCAAGCAGTCCTGTGATGACTATGCCCCCAAAGAAGCAGAGGGTTGCATAGCGAGCTGGTTTGCCAAGGTCATTGGGGTCGTGCACCTCGGCCTCGAAGTCGTCAATCGACTTTGTCACGAAGATCTCCACGAAGGAGACATAGCTACAAACAGAATGGAGGAGCCCAATAAGACCAGGAAATGAAGAGGCCATGGTTGATGAATACAAACGCACATGCTCCCTGACGCCGGAGTCAACACTGATTAGAGCTGCACGGGGCGCTGTCGTGCGCCCTCTGAACCCCAGGCTGCTGGCAGCAGTCTATGGCACCGGTGTGACAAAAGCACATCCTCTCTCATCGCAGAATTTGCGGGTGCGCAGAGCACAGGGGGAGCACGTGGAGCAGGAGAACTGGGGTTGGCGTTGCGCCGCAGTGCCGCAACTTGCTACGAGATAGGTGCGTGGGCGGCATGTACGACACTACACAGGGACGCCCGCAGGGAGGCGGTTCAGCGGTGGTGGCAGCGGAAGCAAGCGGGAACTTACAGCATCACGCCCGCAGAGACGCCCAGGGAGCACGCCAGGAAGCGAGAGTCAGCCAGCTTCGCACAGAATGCAAACGACGCACCAATGGTCGTGGCCAGGCCCGCGCCGACAACCAGCGCGAAGGCCACGGCCACGTCGGTGTCGGTCTGGAGGCCCTGAGCAGTCACGGGCGGGCCATGTCAGTACGCCAATCCAACATCCAGGCGGCAGCAGCTAGGAGTGGCGCAAGCGCGCAGTATCGCAGTCCGCAGTGCCACTGGTCAACGACAGCCACTGTACATCCCCGTCTGGGGTTGGCGCGCTGATTGGCGCGCTGATGCCGCCAAAGTCGCACCATGATTCGCAGGAGTGCCCCTGGCGGCACCCCAGAAACGGCGCACGAGGGCGACCGCAAAAACGGGGCCAGGGGCAGTGGGGGCTTGCTGCGGGCGCCCCGCCGCTGTCGGCGTTCCTGCGTATGGTGGGCCTGTGGGTGAATCAACGTCATCCCTTTGGCCACGCCGCTTGCGCACCTGGCGCACACGCAGCAAGAGCGGTACCAGTTGATCGATCAATCAAACACTTTCGGGTCGCAGATTCCGGAGAATAAGGGAACAAGCCAACCCCCGCCCCCGTGGGATCCCATGATTGGCCTTCCCAGGCCGCCCGACATTCGCTTGCTGGGGAACGCGAGGACCGACCCTTGGGCAGCAGCCCACGAGTTTCAACCGCAGCCCTCCAAGGCCCATGTCCTCCATTCAGTACGCTGGGACGACGTTCTTGCCTCAGCAATGGGCGAATGACATTTACGCGTGACCTTGAACACCAACACGGTGAATATTTCTTTTTGCGCCAGTGGACTGTTCATTTCTGCGACAATGGACCTGGAGTTGTTTCTGCGACATTGGCCATCAGTAAAGTGTGACACTAGAAGTTAGGAGCCTTGAGCCCGGAAAACGCCGAAGTCGTGGGCGAAGGGTGCTGCGGACGCCGAGACGGCTCGCTACGGACGGCGGGCAGGGGCGATGCAGCCCTCACCATTGCGGGGAGGGCCGCCTGTACGCTGACGATGCGCATTGCATCGTATGCGCCCCCGCCCCCCGCCAGAAACGTGCCGCATTCCCCTACCTGTGCGCCGGGAGTCGTGGGTTCCCGCGAGCCCCCCGTGCTGTGCCAGCCCAGGAGCGAAGGCAGCCCGGGCTGCCTGCAGCAGCCGAGGATCCCCCCCATCCAACAAACTTCGCCAACTTTCAAGGGGAGGCGATGATCGGGGTATCGGACACCGCGGCGCCTCCTTGGAGAAATGGTGCGTTGCGCCCCTCCTGTTGATGGGCCGCGTCAAAACTAATCCCAATTCTCGTGTAACAACCCGCCTACAGCCTGGGCGGCAAGGGCGGGAAACAAATTGGTGGCGCCTCAAACACCCACAGACACACACGATCTTGGAGACGCAAAAGTGAACATGGGTGGGCACAACTGCGAATCCCACGTAGCTACCAAAGATTCCAGCAACACCAGCGAGCTGCCCAAAGATCGCGTAGTGAAGGCTTGCGATCCGCCCTTTTCTGTTGGCTCTCGTCAAGACCGATCATGGAGGTGACCCAAAACAAATACCATGAGTTGACTTGTAAAAATCTGGCGGGGACCGCCATGCAAGCAGGCTGGCGGAGCTTCCACAAGTTGGTCCTCGGTGCGTGCACGGCAGGATAGGGGGTTCATGGGGCGGCTGGGCGTGCGAGTGGGCTGGGAATGCCTGAGTGTAGCACAGACTGCACCGGCACATTCAGCAGCACACTTGGCATTTTTCAATTCACAAGTTTCTGGGCATGCCCAACGGCACTTGGTGGGATGGGCCAGATGGGGAGCCAGCGAAGATCGTCTCCACTAGGCGATCTCCTGCTCTGGCAGGCGGGGAACGTGGGGGTGCGTTACGGCGAGCCAAGGCAATTGGCGTGCAGTGAGGGCTCGCGTGCAAGGCATTTGAACAGGCGGCTTCCGATGCCCATCGAGATCTTGGGAGATGTAGCCTTGCAAATTGGCAAAATGTGTTGGAGGGGGGGGGATCCTCGGCTGCTCCAGGCAGCCCGTCGTGTTGCCTTCGTTCCTGGGCTGGCACAGGATGGGGCCCCTTCCCGCCAACAAAATGGCACGGCCACAAGCTTACAGGGCCAAGCGTGCCACGAAAAGGACACGAAAGAGCTGCCATCTCCTCCTAACACGCTCCTTGACGTCCCTGACCGGTCCGGAAACTGGGCGGAAGGCGACTAGTGGCGTTGGCCACAGAAGTACCATGGTGCCACAGAAGTACAGAGATGTGTACAGCAGTGCCCAGAATCATAAGGTACACCATCGGCCCATGCAGGCCTCAGGCACTCAACTCGTCCTGCCACCCCACGCGATCCCGACCCCAGGAACAACCACCTTCCCCTGCAGAACCGCGTGATGGGCACAGGCCGTGACATTCGCGAGCGTACCAGATACGCAGACGCAAGACCCATACCAACACCGGTACGAGGCCACTACCTAAGCCTTGAAGCAGCTGAAGCCCTGCAAAACCTAAACAGCCAACCCCCAAAACCCTGAAAGACCGGTCCCTACACCGGTCTACGTCCCTGTATAAGACTGACGGCCACGTTGCCCATCAACCGGTAAGCCAACGCCCGCCACCTTCGCGCTCCAGTAAGGCCTCCCCCCGGTGCCGGTCAAGAGCGGATTAATGCTGACCCAGGGATGTGACAACTACACCCCCCGAGGCAGCCTTTTGGATGCTGACTCAGAGTGCAACCGCCCCAAACGCCCCCAACTCCCCCGCCCAACGCGCAGTCCCACAGTTGTCAAAGGGAGGGCAACTGGCGGGGGGGGTGCCTGGCCAGCACGCCCGCCGCTGGCGACCCCACATACGCCTCAAGCCTCTCCCGCCCACCCCAGGGCGGCATCAAATTTCCGATGCCCGCGCTGCAGTCTGCTCCGACGAGAGAGATGGCACAGGTGCCTCGGGGAGGCACAAGGGGACCAAGGCCGAACGGTCAAGACGCCAAGAGCCAGGGGCGAGGTCAAAGAGTGCAATCGGCGCATCAGGCGCCACCCGCCGCGCAGAGCGCTCGCTTCGTCTACCCTTTTGCTTGCATGGTGGGATGCGTGGTGTCCGTGCAGGTGGGTGTTGGCGGGGGGGGCGGGCGCGAAAATCGTCGGGGGAATCGGCCTGAGGGCGGGGCCGGATAACGCTCGGCCGCCTACCGGGGGTCGGGAGCGCCATCGCGGGCGGCGTCGTCGGTAAACGGAAGGCTCGACGTGCTCTTGAGGCGGCGCAATCGCAGCCGTGCTCCCAACGCTCCGCTCGAGCGGGGGACTTCCTCGCCGAAGCAGGGCCTCCCTGGCGCGCGAAAGCGCCGTGCGTGGCGCCGGCCGAACACTCTCAGCCCGGTCCTGCGTGGCCATGGAGGGTCCATTGCGCACCTGATGTCATCGAGCCGCTCGCTCGTCTCGGTGGCGCGTTCGCCGGTGGCGTACCGCTCGGCAGTTGGCGCGACGCGCGGCGTCCTATCGTGGACTGTTCGACTGGAAGCGGCGTTGTCGCCTTGCCCCGGCGCGCCCCATTTTTCCGTATACCGTTGACAATTGTCACCCTGGACGGGGGCAGTGCTGGGATGTAACGTTCTTACGCAACCCCCATCGAGCGGCCCCACACTGCCCCCGTTGCGGGGCAGTTTGCGGGTGTTCTGGCGTATTCCCTGAGGCTTGCCATCGCCCTCAAGCCTTCCACGTGTGTGTAGCTTGTTCCAACCTGCCGCGCCAGCAAGGAACAACCGTCGGCCTGCAAAAACAGGCATTGAGTCGCAGATTCGGAACGCGGGCATTCGAGTTAGAGGTGCAGTCGCAGCAGCGTGGGGCACAACTGCAAGGAGGCGGCAGTAAGGACGCGCAGGCCAGCTGCTCTCTGGTTCATTCCTTTCGTAAGAGCACCATCCAGGGAGAGCGCCCCTGGATCCTTGTCCAATTGAGCACAGAACGGCTGCTGCGTTATGCTGGATTCCTCGCTCCTTTGCGGTTGCCACCCAACAGTCTGCACTTATACTTTCCGCCCGTTTCGCCTATTTGCTGACATTGGACTTTCGGAGGAGCCGAATGGAAACGGGCAGGTCATGCAAGGCAAATGGTGTTGATTTGTGCTTGTCACTGAAATATTGCAGTTGAAGGATGGTGCGGAAGTCGAGGGCGTTTTTCACGCCCCAATGTTGGGCACCAAGAACCTTAACATTATTCTTAAGAGAGCCAAAAGAATCAAGAATGGCAGGACTGAGGAGGATGGGGAGCTTCAAGCAAAACTCCCTGAGACGATGATTATCAGTGCCAATGATTTTGTGCAGTTAAGGGCTTTGAACGTGCCCTGCGGAGAACACGTTGTTGGCAGCTCATCGGCAGAAAATGGAATAGCTAGCAAAGCGCGAAACGGTTTCCAGTCAGATAGCTCTGCGGAGGTACCACTTGCAGTGCACAGGTGAGAGGAAGTGTACATCCCTGGGCTCCTGTCCAACAGCATATGCTCATGTCAGGCTCAGTTTCTGTATTGTGGTCATGCCAGCGCCAGCTACCATCTGGTGATTCTGAAGTGCAAAGCAGCTGATTTAGGATGGAGACATTTATTGCCCCAAGCACACATATAGCATCAGCTTCAAAGAAACTCAATTCATCACAAGGTTAGTTCCACACAGCAGTGCTGCCCAAGGCCATCAGGTCGCTCAACGTTCACCTGGATTCTCCACCGATGGTGGTCATCGGAGCCACCGCTTATTGTTGCCTGCAATGGTTCAACAATCTGAGCAAGAGTGTGCCAAGCTGCAGATGTGAGGAGCACAGTGACGTTATGCAAGGTGGAGATGCACAAGGCGATGACGCAGTTGAGGATGCCTTCTTAGGAGATAGAATCAGAGCTCACAGACGCCCGGGGTACGTTGCAATCTTTACTGACTTGTGTCAGCCGCTGTTCTTGCGTTCTTGGCGTTGTTTGCCTTTGTCTGACCTTTGGTGATGCGTTCCAAACGTCATGCTCTGCAATGGTGAAGCTCATGGTCTGGAAACCCAGACACAGGTGGTCATGGTAAGTACCCCAGGTGGTAGCGTACCGAATGTGTGACATTTGGACCTTGTGCCACGGTGCGTTCAACAAACCATGGGTTTGAGCTTGTGCTGTTGTTGTATGCTGAGAGACAGGCAGATGCCAACACAAAAGGCGGTGAACATTCTGATGCGTGACCTGTTCTTGTTGCCTCACTTGTCACTGCAGCATCCATGGTCGTCAACTGAAGAAATGGGTTCCAGTCCCTGAAGGCATCCCTGATGACGCCGGTATTGAAGATCTGGCGTATGGTTGTGGTATCGGTGGTCGAGACACTGGATGGGACCAGTTTCGAGTTAATAAAGAGAAGTTTGGCGTGGACACTACTTTTGATGAAAGTATTTACACAAGCCGGCTCGACGAATCCAAGTCTCGGTACTCTCGAGCTGACGCTGAAAGAATAGCGCAAGAAATTCAATCAGAGAAGACCAAGAGCACTCATGTTGCACTTGAACGAGGCCTTGACCTGGAGAATGAGGTTTGTCTATCAATCTTGCCAGAACTGATGATGGAAGCTTTCCGTGATCGTTCTCCTGTTGCCAAAATGCATGCAAAAGTGGTACACGTGTTGCACGTGTTGCCCTACTGGGTGCCAGTGTTCACATGCCACCCAGTACGGCAACACGTGTTGCAATTTTTGCATGCCTTTTGGCAGGTATATCCTGCCCCAATGTTCAGTGTCGACATGGAATTTGTGTTTGAACGCCTTACCCCTCAGCAATCTCTCACTTACCATGCAGAGTTTCAACCTGCGGAAAAGGACTTGACGGTTTGCCCAGAATTAAGAGCACGGCATGGGATACGAGATGCAACGTTTTTGAAGGAAGAATTTCTAAGTCTGGCCACAATCCTTCACAGAGGAAGAAATTTCTTTGATTTCGCATAATGGGAGAATGGCTAGCATAATGTCCCAAGATTTCATTAGCTTTCACGAACATTACCTTGCTTCACTCACAATGGCCACTCACAGCCAAGTTTATGAAGGGAAAAAATCAAATCCAGTGTCATGCTTCGAAGAGCTTCTGAGCAGCTTGAATTTAATGCGAATATGTGTGCGTGCGGGTGCCACACAAGGGGTAGTCTGCGATGTGCTGACGACCTATTTGCAGTGTCCCTCTCAATGGTGTGCTACCCTGCTGCACTAGAGTTTCAAAATGTCATGTATTCCGGCTGTGCGTGCCCTCCCAAGCAATTCTGAAGAAAGAAGGAACACGTCTGAAACCAACCACCTTATCCTGAGCAGGATTGAGCTACTCATTCGCTCTCATTGCCCTCTATTACTTTTTCATTACCGTGCGTCTGGGTGCTCTTTCAAAATTTCATGTACTTGTGTTGCATTATGGTGTTTGTTAATGTGATATCTGTCCCGAGTTTGATGAGCGCCCTGGTGTTTGGTGAAGCAAACAACCCATGAAGCGACCCGTTGTTTTTTGCAGGAGGGGGAAGAGGCCCTGCACTCCGCCGTGCTTAATAACGATGCTGAGGGTTTGGATGGCCCCCCAGTCTCTGGCGCCCAGGCTGCACCATCGTCCTTCCCCACATCTCTCTTCCCACCTCTTCAAGCAAGTGCAACCAAATCTCCAAACCATAAGGCAGGAAATGGGGTGAGTCCTGCCCGGGAACGAATCGCGACAGAGACCACAAAAGATGGCCGTTTTCAGTCCCCAGCAACCGAGACAGCAAGGCAGGCAGAGCCCAAACCGGCACCTGTCACGAAGACGTCCTATGCAGATATCCTGATGGGACGCCAAGGCACTGAAGGCAGCGCTGCAAGCCCGAAGCGTGAGCCCTCTCAGATGCACAAGCAGGACGCTGCACACGACAGAGACCGCGCAGCACCGAAGACGCTCATGACGTCACAGACTACGCTGGTAAGGAGCATTGACAGAGACTACACTGCATTAGCATGTGTGGAGGCAAAGTCACTGCCTTTTGCAGAGCACCAGCCGACTAGCGGACTGCAGCACTACGAGATTGGCCAGTGGGATTGATACCGTCGCTGCCAGACTGTCACAAATGGACAGTGTGCAATCCAGAGACACTAATTTCTGTGCTCTGCCTCACAGGCCCATTCATTCGATGCTGCGATGGAACAGACTGGCATGCAACAGAAGGGCCCATGGGGCCGGGGTCGTGGCATGCCAAAGGAAATGAATCCATCACATCCGCAGCGTCCAACTGGGAATTCAGCGGAGCTAGGAGGTGCTCAGAAGGTCACTTGGGGCCGTGGCCACATGGTTATGAAGCTTGCGGCTGGTGCACCCTTGGCTGTGGGTGCCAGGACAAGCAAGAAAGCAGAAGTTGAAGCAGCAGTATATGGCTCCTCTGCTGTTCACCCAAAGCTGGGTAACACCACACAGCGCATTCTGCCGACATCTGTTTCACCTAATCAGGGCGGAACTGAATTTGTGGGTCCAACAGAAATGAAGGGGATCATGGTCACAAAACAGGCTGTTGAAGATCATCCCCTTGGCAAAGGGCCTTTTGGCGCTGATGCGAACAAAGTGATGGAAGATGTGATACCAGAGGCTGCAAAAGGGCCTGCAGCTGAGGCCCCAAAGGCAGCCCTGTCGAAAGCTGATGATGGACCGCAAAGCTTGGCAAGTTCTCCATCAGAGGGCTCGAGTCCAGGGACGAGGAGCCCTACATCTGATCTGCAGACTCCACCAATGGAAAACCCGGGCTGCTCTAGTGCTGCGACCGCACAAACATCACCGAATGTGGTGAATGTGCCCAATGGCCCAGCATCATCACCCTTTGCACGGTCAAGATCAGCTGTTCAGCCAGGCATTTCCTACCTTGCTAAACTGCAGATGGGTAGACAGCCAGCAGTGCAGCAACCCTCCGCACATGAGTTGCAGACGTCTGCAAGATCATCGCAAGCGTCTGCTCAACAGTTGGTGACCCGGGAGCAAGAGTTGGGGCTGCAGTCTCCCCCAGCACTGCAGAAATCTGTTGAAGATGCTGCTGCACCCAGGCCGGGAAAATCTGACGGGCTGACTGGAAGCAAGGCCAGCAGCATCTCCAAGGCTCCTGTGGGGCGCAATGGTGATATTGCAATCAATAGCAAGGTAAGCAGCTTCAATGAACAGTAACTGATGTGTTGAGTCAGTCCTGGAGTGACATACAATGCAGTCCACTCATTTGTCCATCCAGTAAATTTGATGGAGTGCAGACACAAACAGCTCAACCGATGCCTGATGGTCTTGTGTGGACCCCTTGTAGATGACCCAGACCACAAATGACCTGGGTACGAAAGCCAGGGCGTCCAAAGTTGACAGTGGGACATCAACATCTCTAGATATTGGCCAGCTTTCAGTTGATGGACCCGGATTGCCAGCGAATTCTTCCCTGTTGGTTCAACCAACTGCCTTGACATCCACAGAGCTTGGGGCAGCTACTAAGGTGGAGCAGAAGCCAAGAAAGGACAAATTCACAAGGTAGGTTGCCATATTGTCGAATACCATCTGTGAATGAGTCACTGCTGCTCTTTGCTTCTTGTCGTTGCACAGCGCCTATGTTAGTCTTGCCCTGTATCTCTGGGCAGTAGTCTGATGGCAGCAGTAGTCCCCACAATGCACCCTGGCCCTTGCTTGGATGTTGGTCTGCGTGACAGGTGGCCTTTGTGTATCTTGGCTCTGAAAGCTAACTGCTTGCTTGTTGCAGGGGACGCGCCCAGGGTCCTGGTGATGCTGCACACCACCCAGCTGTCCAGCCTTCTTCGATGCCAGATGCAAGCGACCCTGTTCCTGGTGGACCCGAACAGCAGCAGTGCTATGACCGATCGTACCAGCAGAACACAGCCCAGGTCCAGCAGCAGAAAACGAGGCTGAATCCAAATGCTCAGCCATTCAAACCAGCCCCAGGGACATTCCCATCCTATCATCCTATGCCTACTCCCTATGAAGTGCGTCCATCGATGGAGACCTACACCGTGCTGAGCTTGGCTCAGATGCACCACATGAGCCAGATGGCACAGATGGGCGTTCCCAGAAACGCCCAGTGGGGCCCAAATAATGCCAGTCCAGGCGGGCCGGCCCCAGGGCGGTCGAATTCCGGCAGCAGAGGTCACCAGCCTGAGCAAAATGGCAACACTGGCCCAAACGTTGTCACTCCTTGGCCAACCTTCCCTGGGACGGGCGTCTGGCATTCTGAGGAGCAGATGCACTCAGGGGCTATGTTGTCGGGGTACGGCATGCCGGGTGGCTTCCCAGTGTTCATGGGGCCCGCAGGGTCCTACGTCGGGGCCCCGCAGGATGCGAGGATGTGGGGCTCACACGCGGGCTCTGGGGGCCCGTACAGGGGAATGCCCCCGCCCAATGGTGCCACGTTGCTTGGCTCCGCCTACATGCATCCCCCAGTAGTACGCTGGAGACCGAAAGGGAGAAGCGGTCATTCGGGGAGCCGCAGCTGTACCAGCAGCAGTGGCGGTCTGCTCAGGGTACAACATCGGAGCGCCAATCGGGGGAATGATGGCATCACTCGGGCCAGCAAGGCATCTGCGTGACCTGTGGAGGCCGCACCGTACTTTTCCCTCTTTCCTACAGCGCATTTTGATATGCGTCTTAATTGGGTTCTCGCAGCGTGCAAACGAAGGGACGGAGAGACGCGCACAAAGCCCCAGAGCAGTCCAGCCAGCGTCGCGGGCGGATGCACGTTCTGCTACAAGCTTGTCCCTTTTGTAATACATACTGCCTCGTTCGTTGGGCTGAAGGTGTCCGCCAGATTGCCCACATAATACTTCCTCTGCCGGATGTTTGAGACCAACACCCACTCCCTAAAGGAAATCCCAGTCGTTCCATCTACCGCAGTATATATGGCATTTCCGCAAACGACACGACGCTGGGCTCTTTTCTGCGGGAGTGCAAAACTGCTAGTACAACGCTCCTTTGGTGAAATGCAGAAGAGAAACAACGTTGCAAGAAAAGCAACGCACACATTCTGGCGCTATTTAGGCATTAAATGGCCATTGCTATTGCTATATCATAAATTTTATGACCAGGGGAATAGCCATTCATAAGTCTGTTGATGGCTCTCCATGGTCTCCAAAACCTGCATCGCACCTCCAGGCGGTGGCCCGAGGGCCCTCACCTGTTGACCGCATTCCCTTAAACCCAAAACCAGCTCAATCGTATCCACATTCGAGGAAATGGGGAGACTGATTGGTCTCATGAGCGGCGAACTTCTGCTACAGAAGTTGGTTACAGTAACCAAAGAGTGGCAACGCGTGTTGTTTTGGGGCGTTTCCACTCCAAAAATTGTACTAGCTGCCAACTTGTACGTGTGGTATGTGTGGTGCGACCCTTCCCGATCTGCATAGTCTCTACTTGTAAGAAAAACACAACTTGATTTTGGGTCTTCCTACAATGGAAGCCATTCCCCTAATCGTCCGCCATTGGTTAGGGTAATGGGCATCGCATTCCTTCGCACTTTTTTGAGGAACTTGGGAAGCCTTCTGTGGTATTCCTCACAGCATCGACTGAGGTTCAAAGGTCGCGGCCCAGAATATGGGCCGGAAATGCATCCCCGAATTGGCCAATCGATCTCAAATTAGGGTAGCAAAGCCACAGCGATTTCCACGATCAAACCCACCAAGATGCGTTTTCTACTGCTTTGCTTCTTTGCAGGGACCTCTGCAATATCCTGTCCAAACAGCATGGATAGTTGTGCAAGGGCGGTCTTGTTTGGCTGCCACAAAGACGTGCTGCTCACCATCACAAAAAACGGCTGTTTCGGCGACTTTGTTGAAAAACGGGCGGGTTTCTGGAGGGAGGGCCCTATAACAAAGTGCCGCCAAATCGTCAACACCTAATAGATTGACTTGAAATTTTGACCGCACAGTTAAAAAACATAGGCGCACCTTTGATAAAAATTTTATCGGAAAATGAATCTTCTGTAATAGAGAAGTAGGGCGGCAAAGTCATAGACGACAATTATTTTCCAATCTTGGACGGAGGAAGTTGTACAATATATTCCCTCGCATACCTCACTTTATATTCCGTCGCGCAGCTAATACCATTCGTTCTGCTAAATCGACTACTCCCAATGAATTCCTACTATATGGCGGGAACGTACCACGGGACCATGAATCCGGGTGTGTCCCCCTCTCCAGTCCAAGGTTGCTTCTTCATGACACTATGAATTCGATTAGGCAAAATCAAAGCCAATTGTTCCTCTTCCCTTGTGCCTATGGTGGCGGATATAACCGGACATATCCAGATACATCCGATATATCTGGATATATCCGCTGCCACATGCACACAAGGGAAAAGGAGCCGTTGGCTTCGATTTTGCTTGATCGAGTTCATGGTGGCATGACAAAGCGATCTTGAACTTGAGAGGCGCACACACCCGCGGGTGGGTTAGCGACAATTTGGCCAAGTGACATGCTGGCCAAGTACGGTGACCTGTCAGAAGCGCAGAAACAGTGGTGTCCTCTCAACTCGTGATGGGTGTGGCTGAAATGATACTGTGCGGATCTCGCTTGTTTGGCTGGAGCCTAGACCTCCAGAGATCTTGGGCAGGAGCGGGCGGCAATGGTGCATGGGCAAGGACAAACCCTCCCTCTGGGACCATCGCAAAAGGCAATCGTACCGCGTGAACCGATGTCTTGATGATTAGGTCATGCGGCCGATAGGATATCCCCTCCCACTGATTTTGGTGTGTGTACTTTGGGCACAGGCGGCGAGGGCTCAATGCGTATGGGCGGCAGGCCGCTCGCTTTAGCTTTCCAACCAGTGCTGGGTTGTTCGCCGGCCGTTGTCCTTTGGCCGTTGTTCACTGGCCTGTTGACCACATGGTGCTGCCTTCTTCGGGCGGCAATTACCAATGTTTCAACGGCCCGCATCCTGCCACATGTGAATGGCCACGCCCTCGATCGTGGCCAATATTTACAACCTTAAATGCATGTGCAAGCGCCCTTTCTCAGCAAAATACCGAGCGCCTAACATTCTGTTGCGAATCCTTGCGTCATGTGCCCATCAACCTCGCGTCATACCAACCTACGTGGGCCCCTGTGGCGAGTTTGATGGATGCGATAGCAAAATTATGTACAGGAAACTTCGAGACAGAAGAATGTTTGCACTCTTGGCGCTCGAGCCACCGCGCAAAATTGTTTCTGATCGAAAATTTTGGCTGCATAAACTTTTTCGCCCGCGAACTTCGCGGCTGCTCTCCCAAGACATCTTGCGCTGCAACGCCTATTGCAATAAGTCAGTTGGCCAATTGGCTGGCACAGCGGCGACTGGAAGTGCGGCGCTCTTTGAAACGCCGCGATGGAGCCTTGGGCTCTCCAAAACTACTCCGCAGCACCGTGAGCCGCTGCTGTTCGCCTCGATCTGTCCTTGGTCAACGGCGCTTCCAGCACCTGGACTCTTTGCTGTTTCATTCCAAGGCAGCCAAGTAGCTGATCACGCGGCCAAGCCATTGCACTGAGCGAAAGGTGTCATTGCTGCCGCCACAGCAGCGCAGTCGCATCCCGTTCAATGTGGCCCGCGGAGCCACACCTCAAGTAGTGCTGCATCCCTCGATACGGCCTGCCCAGTGCCCAGCCTACGTTGGCGCCTCAAGCCACCGTTCCCAAGTCGTTGAGCCCCAGCTCCGTGCCCCTGTAGGTCCCCAACCCGCCCCGCGCGCGGCCCGGACGCTTTCGCGGCAATGCGCAAGAGCAGGCGCTTGACGATTGGGCTCCGCCTGTCCCATCCCGTCCACGATTGCGTCCTGGAGTCCCATGCGCGGCGCAGCCCTGACCAGCGATCGCGGCCATCCGTGGTCGCCAAGGACGAAGCGCGGCATGAAATTACGAAAACGGGCTGCACGAAGCAATAAAGGAGACGAGCGATCGGCCTCGCCAGCCCTGGGGCACGCACAATCCCGCAAGGAAGATCTTGTTTCAGAGACCAATACCGATCGACAGAAAGAATTGGATAAGCCACGAACACTTTCCACAAATCGCCCTTGCGCACGAACACTCGCGTTTGGCAGGCTCGCCACTGTTGGATGCTTCACCCCAAATTCAGATTCTAGGGCCTCTAAGTGGTCACCATGGCTCGCAAGAGGGTCCAGTTTTCAACTTGCACGCCGTGTTTCGTCCTGAGAGACCAGGATGGCCGCGATCGCTGGCCAGGCCTGGCCAGCCCTAGGGCTGCGCACCACATGGCACTCGGGGGACGCGATCTTGCGCCGAATGGGCCAAGCAAAGCCCAATCGTCATTGCGCCCGCATTTGCGCACTGCCGTGAATGCGTGCGGGCCGCGCGGGGCGCGTTTGCGAACTACAGGTCAACGGCGACTGGGGTTCAACGACTTTGGCGCGGTGGCCCGAGGTGCCCACGTCGGGACGCCGATGGGCGGGCCGTATCGCGGGACGTAGAGATACGGCAGGTGGAGCTCCGCAGGACGCAGCGCAGCCACCACGACGTGGCGCCATGGTTGCTGCCGCGATATCGCCAAAAAATCGCCGCAAATTCGATTTTGCACAATACAAATTATCGCGCGGTGGAAATTTCCTCAGGGAAAAATGGTTGAGTGAGCGAAAATATTTCCGCGTGAACACTTTTTCGGCTGGGAATGCGTTAATGTTTCCGTGTGGACATTTTTTTCTGTATACAATAATCAGGTGTCCATGGCGTGCTTTCCATCTGGAATCCATAATAGCCGTGTCTCCAGAGCCTCCCAAGAGGTGGGATAGCTGCAAGAGCGCCACCTGCCGCCACCTTGGACCTTCCACAAGTCCAAATGACTTCCCAGCAGGCCGCGAAGCTGTTGGACTTTTCCCCCGTCGCTGTGCTTCGGCCAATGGTTGGAGAGCACTTTATTGGCTCCAATGTGGTTACGATAATTTGGCCAGAATGTCACTTGGCCAAATTGAAACTGGCCCCAGCCTGCCCTTGGTGGTGGATCGCCCCACCCACAGTCAAGCAGGGCACGGAATGGCTCTCAGTATTTCTCTTACAATTATTGTTCGCTGCATTTCCCGAGGCAATGCGGTCTTTCCACATGGGGGAATGTGGCGAATGACAATTGTAAGAGACATGTGTACTAAGAAGTATGTATGCTAAAACCCATTCGGTGCGCTGCTTGATTGTGGGTGGGACGATCCACCACCAAGGGGTGTTCGAGTTACTGCATAATGTCCCGTCATTATATTGGCCACTTGTGCTAAACGGGTACTCGACAGGAAAAGGAGAGAAGGCAACAGCAAATGATAAACAACGGAATCAGAAGAGCTGCAAAATGACAACTGCCGTTGCACGTTCAGCGGCTCAGACGGTGTGCCAGCCGTTGACACATCCGCCAGATTTCTGAGGAATCCAGTGGACCTTTAACAAGATGATCAGGATCATGACAAGAAGACAACCTCTTCTTGGACTAAGGTCCATCAGCTACTTGACACGGCTGGACACTGCTGTGGCTGGCTGGGCGGTTGCCGAGTCGAGCGCGGTGCAGCGATGGCTTTGCACCCTGAGATCGGGTTGGCTGATCTCGAATGGCTTCCCCGTCGCTGGTTATGGTTCGCCCTTATCAACGTGGAATCCTGGCTGTTGGACGGCTATAAACCAGAAGTTGACCACTGGCTCGTGGACGCCCGTCTCAGAATACAGGTCAGCGCTGAGGAGTCGCTGGGGCAATGGACTCCAGGGATGACACAAACCGACTGGCTTCGAAACGAGACAAGACGCTTACTGTGATTGTAAGCCCCTTCTATTCTGATCGACTCTCGCCCGTGCCTCACGCACTCTGATCGCAGCTGTCCTGTTGCTTCGACATCACTCGCAAGAGACCCCTGAGCCTGACGCGGGTTGGATCCCATTCTGGCGAAAGAGAAGCGTGCCTACGTTGTGGACACCAACGAGGTCGCTCACTTGAAGCAAAATCCCGAACTCAAATCGGAGGTTGTTTGGCATCAGCGACTGCATATCGCAGTCCTGAACACTACCTCATCGCTGTCAATCGCCCTACCCGTCGACTTGCGACGGGACTACCCTTTGTGGATCGGCGATTCGAGATCGAAATGCCATTCGCCTGCGCTCATTTCGAAGGCTGATCGTCCATCATAACGGAATCAGTCGAGCAGGCGGCAATCGGGCCCCGCCCCTCCTGGAACTGCTGCACCGAATTGGCGGACCAGTTGTCGCCGTCGACTCGCGCACGCCCCCTGGTCCCACACCTGCAGGCTGGCCGTCCAATCGCCACCTTCGGGCTCCAGAGGCACTTCTTGAGCGTCTGCTAATAGACGCATCAATACATTGGTTCGACCTTCTGGCAATCGGCGCGTGCGCATTGCTGCTGGGTACACACAGAGGCGCTCCGTGTTTGCGCGGAACCCTCGGCGTCTTTGCCGTTTGATCACCACACCTCTGAAGGCGAACTCAACGGGACACGCTGCGCCGCCCCAGCCAGCGCCATGTTCGTTGTGCCATGGTCATGTCACATGTGCTCCGGTAGTTGATCCGTCCGGTGTTGCGCGGTAGCTTGCAATCGCGCCGCTGTGGAGGCGATGGCGGCACGGGTGCCCAAAGTTGGAGTCGGGCAGGGGCGGCTTTCTGTCCATCTACGGCGGAATGAGTCGCAGCGGCACTGCGCCGTGCCGTTGGGGCTCATGGCGTGCGACTTGCGAGGCTCGTCGGATGTACCCCCTCCTGACCTTTGGCCACGTTGAAGCCATGCCAAGGGAAGCCACATAGGGCACTTTCCGTGGAGACGGTGGGGACAAGGCGGACGACAAATGGTTGACGCCCGGCAGGCCGCAGCGCACGACACCGATATGGTGCCCGAGTGCGTGGCTTGCAACATGGCACCACACGATGGGTCTGGGCCGCGGGGCCCGCGACCAGGCAGAAATGCACCAGCGAGGCAGTGTCCAGTTCCGGCAACTTCCGGCCCGGCGACACGAAACGGTGACTGGACCAGCCACGCTCCAGCGCGCTCCAGAACGAGTTTCTTTGCCTCATCACCCCCCGAGTCGCCGCGGATGGGCGCCCGTCGCGCCGTTTTCCTCGGGCGGCGCTCGGCTGCGCCCCCTACAGGGACTGACAGCCGCTCCCTCCCACCCATCCCCCACACCCTCCTCGACATGCCCGACGCGCCGCCGGACATCCCCAATTCCCAGCAGCCAGCCTCCTGCCCCCTGGGCGACCTGCCGGAAGACATCGTCTCCCGGGTGCTGTCCAAGTTGAGCGCCGATCAGCTCCTGCGATGGATGTCATGCGTGTCTGCTGGATTCGCTGCCGCGTGTGAGCCAGCGTTCAGGGCCCACTGCAGGGCCCGCGGCTGGGCTCCGCCCAGGCGGCCGCGAGGCGAAGATTGCCATCCCAAGCGGTACCCATGGCGGGCTCTATACCGGAAGCACGCCTGCCGGTGCTGCGGGGGGTTGGGGGAGTTCCCAGTGCGGGCGGGGCGGGCTTGCAGCAGGCGCGGGGCGCCCGTGGAGTTTCTGCTGTGCAGGAGGTGCCTGGGAAAGGAAAGGGTGAGGGGGAGGCTGGTGGGGGCGGGCATGTGGGTGGACCAGGAGGGGTTGACGGGCAAGCGGCTGGCCGCGGCGGACGGGAAGCAGAAGCAGAAACGGCGGCGGAAGACTGGAGATTGATGTCGCTGGAGTTATGTACACCTGGAGATGAGATCATGTTTGGCTTCTTGTCTCTCCTTTTGGTCAATGCCTTGGCCGTTCCCCTGGTGCTTGCGGCCGCCGACCTGCAGTTGGGGAGGCAGCCCGTGGTCGCAGGCTGTCGCGATCTGGCATGGTGATCGCGGGATTGCGTGCCGCTGTGAGGAGGCAAAACTCCCATCTGGCATCTTTGCTTGAGGACGGTTTGGATGGCCAAAGGCGATTCTTCTGGTGCATGGGGTGCACAGAAAACTATCCACGCTTTTGTCCTCGCAGGTTAGGGCCCTGGTTCTGTGGCAGGCGATCCAAGCACCTGTTGTGCTTGGATGGCTAGTTTTCCATCTGGGTATGTTGATGCCATGGTGCTTCATAGCTGGAATGCAAGTCAAAGGCAACCCTTCCAAAGTGGTGGAGGGGCTTGGTCTCGATTGAAGGGAAATTCGCCACCAATACCTGCACAATTGTCGGCTCTGCTCACTACCGCGATGTCTTGAACTCGCCACTCCGAACATGCGAAATTTGTGTTGAGAACACTGCAGTGAGGCGGACTCAATGAGCCGTTTTAGTCAGGGTTGGCAACCAAGGGTTGTGATAGACGACAAGCATGAACCTTGTACCAATTGTAACACAAGTGAAATGATGCAAGGGCCACAAACTGATGACACACTCTCGCTTGCCCATAAACATGGATCCCACAAGCTACTGTGGACGCAACCCAAAAGCAGCCAAAATGTGTCCACAGTTTCTGCAATAGCAATCGACTGGCAATGTGTTTGTTGCCAGTGATTGGCTTGAGACATTCACTTGAACTGGGAGAACACACACACACACACACTAAATTCCAAATCAAAAAGTAAGTTCAATTGGCGAGAATTTTTGCACAGCAGCAGATTGCCCAACAAATTCTCTGCAGGTGAAGGCAGACAGCACGTTTGAAAGGCACAGCCCAGTTGTGCTGTCGCCACACAGCTTGCAACGAGACTGCATACCAGCGAATGCAGCCTGCACTTGAAAAATGTAATTCCTCGTTTGTACATGAGTGTGTTCATCTGTAGAGTCCTGCCAATGCCGTTCAATCCACAGCAGCCTTGCAACAGAACTACGATCCACCAGCTGAACTAACCCATGCCATTCTTTTAGCAACTCGATCCAACGGTCCAGAAGCCTGCTTCCGCCAACTTTCCTTCCCTTCCAACGTGTTTTCGATGAGCCTTCTAAGCCTGGGAGACATTCGTGTGCGCACCTGCATGTGCAAGAAATGACTCAATCAGCACAAATCCTGTGACAGAAGCACACAAAGATGCACACTGTCCAGGATGCACAAGGAACTGACAAAACTGGGCAGCAGAGCCGGCTGCAATTGGAAGCTTTGCACTCATGGCAGCTCCAGCAGACAAGCAAGCACCAATGCAAAACAGATCTAAAACTTTGGGGGAGTTTGGCAGTAGCTGTGCAGAACTGGAATGCAAGCATGCTGACTGTAGGCACCAATTCGACAATTTTGACAGCCTTGCAAAGCCACGTCCCCTGCAGCGATGCCTGCCCCTCCTTCAGGGCAGCCAGAGCGGCTGCAGTACATGAAGGGCACGCAACACAGCCCTTGCAGCTTACCCTCTTTGATTTAATGTCTTCACACAGGCTCCTTGCTTTGTCGATCAACCCATGGTCCATGTAGCACTTGAAAAGACTGAAAGCCAGGCGGCTCAACTCTCTTCCACACTGCTGATCTACAGCCAACTCCCAGACATTGGCAGCCTTTTGGGGATCGGTCTGGGTGAGATACCTCACCAAGTATATCAGGTTCCGTTGAGTGACGATCATGCCCAGCGACCTTGCATCCATGGCTACCTCGTATGCCAGGTCGGAGAAGCCCAAGGCGAACAACCCAGCAAACAGCGTCCCTACCATCTGGCAAGGATACACATTGGGCCCAATGTTGCCTGCAGCCCTGGCAGTGCGGTCAGCCCTGTCCAGTGTCCAGCAAATGGGCGTTGTCAAGATGACGCATTGGTGCCACTATTCCAGGGCCACAAAGAGATATAAGATGTCACCCACCAAGGAGCATGCCTGCAGACAAAGCTTGAAACCCGAAAACTCGAACGCGCTGGCAAACTGACAGAGCGCAGCTGCCACAATATTGCCTAACAAGCAAGAGGAGGAAAAGGCAACACAGGCAGGCACATAAAACATGCAAGGCCGCAGAGATCCCCAAGCCCATTCATCCCCACACAATCTCAGCAACATTGATGCTGCTTGAATAAATAAGCCTGCGTAGGCGTAATGAATGGAACATGGGAGCACCACATGTGCTCAATTTCCGTAACACTGTTGCAGTTGGAAGAATTCTGATAACTGGCATCGAATGAGTGAAGATCCTCGACTTAACACCTTACCACCTATGAGGGGTAGCTGATTTGGGCCCAGTGCCAGAGCGCTGAAGACACATGTGTGTGATATGTCAACATGGTGTGCATGGGCGCACGGTACAACGCATACAAATCCAGAAATGGGGTGGTGAATGCACTGGGCTGCTCCTGGGGCAGCCCAGGAGTGCACCAGCAGCATGACATCTGCAAGCAGCTTACCTCAGCAGTCTTATAGCATTCCTGAATTCCTCTCGACGCCTGGCCTTACGGAAAAGCCGTGTGAATGGCAAGTCCGGGCAATGAAAAATGATGTTGTCTTGCAGCGCATCTCTCATTGCCAACCAGGTCTTGTCGAACCTTGCCCTGATGGCAGCCTCATTCTCAGGAAACCTGCTGGCCATCAGGGATTCCAAGAACCGTTCCTGGCTCCGAAGATCGCGATGCCCATCGTCCAATAGCGAAATGCCATTCACAGCCCCCAAGCCCCTCACAACGCCATCTTGTCTCCAGTCCCTCGTGCCACAATCTGAAAGTGGCGAATCCCCGGCCAACCAGCATTCCTTGGAAGTGCCGTCGGCAGTGGTGGTCCAATGCCTCCTTGCAGTGCCTGCCCCACCACCCATCCCTCCTCTTTCCGACTGGCTCGCTTCCTCCTCCAAATAATCCAGCACGCCCTCCCTTGAAGTCTCATCGGCATTCTGAGACGCCGCAACCAACCGACCGCCCAACCCCTCCACACACCGGCCTCCGTTGGCCTGCGAGCCCCCCGTTGTCGGCATGTTGAACGCCGACTGTGGGTGCCGAAAATCATGCTCGCCTTCGCCGCACCCACAGGGATCCACACCGCGATGCGGGCTGGCTTGGCGCCATCCACCATATTGAGGAGCGCCGCATCGCCGGTAGGGGGCCGCGGGGAGGAACAGAAGCGACAACAACCGATGGGGCAGAACCAGGGCGGCATCCAGCGGCGTGGGCTGACCCGACCCGTCTTGGTCAGCGCACCGCACCGCGCCCACCAGGTTTGTCGTGCTGCCTTGGCCCAGTGCCGCCAGCCATTGGCACAGCTCGCTGCAGGCTCGGAGCCTCGACACGAGCGCCATCAAGGGGCCTCCCGGGGGGGCCCGCGCGTGCCATGCTCCGGGTTAAATGCGACCAAAGCACACCTGCTCGATTCTCAGATGTGTTTAGAGCCTTGTGTGTCGGGATGCATTGCATTGCACAGCCCGCGGTGTTCATCACTAATAATGGGTAATTACGAATGAACCGTTAAACGACAATATTGTCACACCTGACTGCGTCAGGTCACAGTCCGTTTGATCGCGTTTAATAAACGCGCTTTCCTGATTGTGATAACACCGTGTGTGCATCTGCAACGCGACGATGGCCATTATTCTGCACATCAATTCGTGTGGATAGTGTTTGTTCACAAACACCACCACAAGTTGTGCAGCCCTACTCAGCGGTGACAGTGTGATAGGCAATATTGTTGTGGCTGTTGGATGCAATGTTGAACGAATGTCGATGCGAAAAGGCGACCCGAAGCGAGTCCACGACCTGCAAACTAGTTTGCGCAGGGTTGCTGATCTGTGCGGCCCGGAAACCAGTAGAGCAGATGTGCCCTCCATGATAACTCAAAACAAGAGGCCTATATGTCCACCCACTTCTGCCAGGAATGCGCCGGAGAGAATGCTCTGGTTCGTGCATTGATGTGAACGCAACGGTCAATTATGTATGCCCGGTAACGGAGTAAGGAAGGACCTTGCATACGTTAAAATAAACAAAACAGCGCTCTGGGAAAAAATGTGGAGCAAAAAGCGTAACGGTTAAATTTTCTGATGCGCAAGGGTTGAATATTTTATGGCAGACGATTTGCTCGCCAACTAGTTAGCAATACTATATTAGCCATATTGTAGATTTGTCAGCTGGAGCCCCCAAAGCACCGCCCTATCGCCGCCACCCCAACAACAAACTATCTGGCTCCATGGTGGAATTGCACCTTTTTTGGACTGCAACCCAGTCATATCTTGGAAGATGGCTGCAACAGCAGTGTGCTCGCCACCAATAAATCGGAATACTTTCATGCGGATCTGTGTGCACCCGCTGGCAACGCGCGGGACGCCTTGGGGCAGGGTCGAAAAGGCAGTGTCTGACGTTCTGCGCGGCGATGGGGGCAGCAATGTACTGGATGGTCCATCGCAACGCCGCACGCAACAGCTCCATGATGCAACGCGCCTCTGTTGACGGAACCATGTTTCATAGTGCATAATTTGCCGATCGTCTTGCAAGGTTGTGCCACCTCATGGAGGGTCCGGATTGCACAGGTACCTGCTGTCATGGCTCGAAATATGGAGCAGGACGTGAACGCAGTGAGAAGAGCTGGCAGAGAAAGGTGCTGCGGACTGTGCAGGCGCAAACGCAGCGCATGGCTGTGGATAGTTTATATGGCAGCAATGTGGGGCTGTATGCGTTTGCGGCATCAAGAACGCCGTGCACAGAATTGACTGAGACTATGTGCGGCACAAGGCCCCAGCACAGAGATGCTCCGCAAGTCCTGTCAGACTGCTGGCAGGGTATCCGCAAACAGCACGTGTTCAGTCATTTACTGCTAGTAGTTACAACATAAACATCTCACAACCGCCAACGGACGCATGAGAGAAGGGCCTGTGACAACTTTGGGAACTCGAATCACGATCAGGAGAGTTGCCCCAAGCCCCGTGATAGTACAATGCCATCAGCGATTCGCGCCTAATGAATACACAATCGTATGAGGACCAATGCGAGAATCGTCGTCATTGTTCGGCGGCCATGTAGTCTCATTTCAAGTGTTGACATAGGCTCATGCCATGTTATTCCTGGAAGGTCGTTCTGAAGCGTCTGCTCGTATTCAGGTCAAATTATTTGTAGTGGACCGCGGCTTCGTGCAAGTGCATGGACCCCTGCGGGCAGAAGCATATTGGAACATTGTTGTTATTTGCCCGGAATTTAGAATACGTTCGGAAACAAGCAGCAGGTTTCCACAACTGTTCAGATACAAGGATGGGTGCAACCGCGGCTGGCACTTTAGCATGCGCACAACAGCCAATGGCTAGATTGACAAACAGAAAGGCTGAGACGACCTTGCACATGGAACAACATGGCAGTTTGCAACTACGCCCCTTCCTTGTTCAACATAAATTCCCAAGGCTTCCTTCTTCCACTGCGCATAGTCAAGCGCCCGGTGTGAGGTGCTTCAGTCAGCACGCGCAGTGCGATTCGAATGGTAAGCTGCCCAGAAATTGGCGAAAGCAGCGATGGGCTCAATTTCCACCAATCGGTTGGTGTCCTTTTGGTCGGGCCAGACACTTTGACGAGCAAAAATACCCTCCATCCTAGGAATGTCAGCACGAAGGACCTCTTCGACCATTGCTACACAATTTTTGCTACACATGACTCATGTGCATTGGCCCAATTTGGATAACAGGGGTTTCGGTTTTGTGTTGTGGCACCCCAACGGAGATGTGCAGTTTGAATACCACAATGCCAGCAATGCTCCGCCAGAGCAAGACCATAATTTCAGGTTTGCCTTGACAACGCTAGAATCTGTGTGATGACCCGTCGTTCAGCTCCACCGCCAGCTGCATTTGTGTCAGCGATACTGTTTCGCACAGGCACACTTGCGCACATGTGAGCACCTCAAATCACCATACCTCCTTTACTGCTGTATTGGTGGTGTCCACACACAAAATTGCTCGCACAGCTGCCCTTGTCCATTTGTTCCCCACTTCTCTTGACCGGCGTAGCTACACACTGACGTAGTACATACACCAAATAGCTATTCTGGACCTCTTGGTCAAGCATCAGATCTGCGAATCAAGACAACAACCTGCTTTGTGAGGGCACCTTCTCAGGACGCTGCAGCCACCGCATGGCAGCTGAACGTCCTATCAACTGAGGTGATCGTTGGGAAAAACGCACAGCATCAGAAGTGTTTCTGAGGCTTGAAACCGCTTTACACCTCAAAGCAGTTTCCAACGAAGAAGCAGCAATTTACCGTTAGCAGCAGACAAGTAGCAATTACCCATTAGAGTGCAGGGAACCACAAGCAAACGCGCACCTCTGGTCAGCAGGAATTTTGCCATCCCCTGGTGCTACATCGTACGAATGGGCACCGTGATGCAGATATCAGAGCCGCATATGCCAAAGTCCAGAGGAAAATTTCCGGGCACGCCAAGAGGACCGCTAGCCTTGACTGGCCCAACAGCCACAGCGATGCCAACGGCGTCCTTAACAACTGGTGTGTCAGAGCACACGCCCTCCCCACACAAAAACACTGTGTCGGGAAAGCCTTCGCTGTCCCTCCGTGAAACTGCAGAACAGGAGAAACACAATTATCGGAATCCTTGCACAACAAAGCCCGTCATATCGTTTGTGCAACAGTACAGTAGACAGATTGCACAGATGCTCTTGCGCACTTCCACTATGCTTTAATGCCAAAGTAGCACAGCGCAAATGACATGATTGAGGGGACGTGCAAGAACCAGCCCATGTACAAGCAGAGAATCCTCACACGCAGTTACAATGGAAATTGCTGGCAGCCCCCAGTTGCTCTTCCAGCTACTCACCTTGTGAAACAGCCGGATCTTTGCAAGGACATCGGCCGCATGTTACTTGGCAGAAGGCTTCAGGTATTTCTGCGGTTGATCGCATCCAGATCGCATTGCATTTGCCGAAACTCCTCTGCACAGAACCAAACGACGAAACTCAAATGCTGCCGGCACGGTGGCACAGACCGTGCCATGAAAGGCACACAGCAATCGTCAATTCAATAAATCGGCACCGTCATCATCGTCATTATCATGTGACCAAATGAGATCAATTCTGTGCCAATCATTGAATAGATAAGTAATGGCCAGCTCACCTGCTCAGCGCAAGTGGATTTGGAGCCCCTTGGCGGAATATCTGAACACGAACAGCGGTCTTCCGCTGCCCAGCACAACAATCCAGTTCATTAGCAAGCAACACTGAATACATGATTCAGAGCCACAAGGAACTGGCATTTTGAAGCTGCTAGGCCTGCAGCTCAAGCAAGGACAATCAGAGTTGCCACAGGCCGGGACAATAACTATTTTTGCATTGTCTGAACCCCTGCAAGGCAAGCAGAAGCACAGGTGCCCCGGCACAGGTCACTGAGATTAGCCATAGGGGCTAAATGGCACTACTGTCCGCAGGTAGTCGCCTGGAGTTAGGCAGGTGCGGTGCACAATGTTCTGTTGCGGCTTCAGCGATTAGACTCACATTTTTTGGTTACGTCTTCAGCAGGCTTGGGTGGAACCGGTGTTTCTGGCGAGCCGGGCCTGTACATAGGTTTGGCACAAGGGCACAGGCCGCACGTTATCTGGCAATAGCCTTCAGGGTACATGCTGTCGTCTCGCATCCAATCTGCCTCGCATTTGCCCCAATCCCTCTGCAGAGCACGACAACATGTTCACCATCGCAGAACGCAATGCTACACTGCAGTCTTGTACAGTTCAACAGCTGGCATTCCTGTCACGCTCCAACGCAACATTCATCGGAGTACACTGACGACAGTATAGATGTCCAGGCAGTCTGGATAACCTATTGCACTGCTTGACAGCCAAAGCAAGTCGAGGCAAGAACTATGTGGCTGGCAACAACAGTCAAGAGCAACAGGAAGCTCTCATCATTGCGTCATTACCTGTTGGGCGCAGGTGTAGGGCGCGCCAGGCGGCGCAAAATCCGAACACAAGCACATCGCTTCTGCAGCACAGTGGACCAACTTCAGGCAACACCACCTTCATTCACACATCGACGAGGCAAAGAGGATTACGCCAAATTTGACAAGTTCAATATTTCATTGTTGTGATGTGCACAGAATACAGACAACGCCACATCTAAGTCAGCAAGACCTTGTCATTGCTCGGTGGAACTCGTTGCAAGAGGGACAAGCTCAGCTAGCTTCAGACCATGCCACATGCGACAGGCACCCTACCTTCTGGCGGAGATGGAGTTGCCAAGGGGGAGTCTGGAGACGATGGTGGCTGCTGGGGTTCCGGCGCAACCATGGGTGCCGGAGGTGGTGCGACAGAAGGAGGGCGCACCATTGGTGAAGCCGGCAACGCTGACACAGGCCGACGAGCCTGGGGGCCCGTGGGGGGAATTGCTGGGGGAGTTGCTGTTGGGGGTTGCTGGGGGGCTGGTGCCGGTGATATGTCCTCTTCACAAAACACCTCCTGAGCTGCTTCTACAATAACCTCGGCCACCACCTTGGCTGCCTTCGTGGCTGTTGCATCGGAGCTTGCCTCTGATTCATCACCTCCGCCAATGACTACTGTCGTGGATTCTGATATTACTGTGGCGAATGCTTCCTGTCCAGGGAAAGCCACACACAAACCATATGTGGGGTAAACATGGCAGGGAAGAAAGTTGTGCCTTGACTCACCAAAAAGCAGGGCGCTGTTGGTCAATGAGGATTCAGATCAAACGCGACAGAATGTTGGAGAAACCTTTCCCACAGGTTGCAGACAAGTGCAGTCCGCACACCTGAAAGGAAGGCCACATTGGGTTGCCCTGATCAAGCACAAATGTGAAAATTCAGCAACTCCATACAAGCCCTTGTGCAGCTGTTCACCTACCTCAATTTGCTCCATGTAAGTGCTGCTGGCTACCTCTGTGCCATTCGCCCTTGCGATTGCAACTGCTTCTGCAAAAGCCTCTGCAAGAGCCCTTGATTGACCAACTGCTACTGAACTTGCCCTCCCAACATCGTTTTCGTCGCAGTCCCCTTCCAGCGTGACCCTTGTCTTGGTTGCTGCTGTTGCAACAGCCTTGGAAATCGCCAAGGCTTGTGCCTGGAATTACACAAAACAGAATACTTGCGACCCTGGTTTCAGAAGGATGCCATCAATGGGCACAGAATGTTAATGGTCAATGGCTACCACCTTGCCACGGGCCAACAGCATAGCAGCCCCTTTCCTATGTTGCTGATGCTTTTGGGTGTACTTGTCACAATCACATTGTTGAAATGCAGGCCAAGTCCAATGGTGGCATTCCATTGCAATTGTGGCTGCACCTACCTCTGCTGTGGCGATTGCTTGTGCGCATTCTGATCCCTTATCGGCAAATGCTTCAGACACTGCCTCGGCAATGTCTGAGCGTGCCTCTGAATAGGCCTGAGCATCTGAAAAGGTTTCAATTATGCAGTCGTTGTCAAATAGCGCTCCAGCAGGTGAATTGAGAAAGGCATCAAGGTCCAGGCCAGGGGCTGGACCAGGAGCCAGGTCTTCGCTGAACCGCTGTAGTAACTCTCGCCCTGCAGTGCCTGGAAAAAAGAACACACTTGTTACTATACTCTATTGCCCAGCTTGACTGCATCAACTCAGAGTCCACAAAATCGTGAACATGTCCAGTGCATGTCCATTTTACCCCAAGGAACAGAGAACAGAGAGCAAAGTGCCTCTCTGAACAGAGAGCTCAATGAACAGAGAACATGACCCACATCCATAGAGACACTGCCAGCAGAGCAGTTCAGTCAGTGGTGCAAAGATGAACAACAATGATAACAGGACCCCTGGAATAGAGTTCATCGTTGAGCCGCTCCGCATCCAAGTATGGTAAAGATCCCAAACGTGGCACATATCATCTGTGTTTCACCTCCCATTTTGCTGAAGTGAACGAACTAAATCTTCAGCTAAGGTCTGGCTGACAACACCTCGAATGCACTCAATCTCTTGGGCAGGCCCTTCTTACAATCCTCTTCTCAACGATGCAAACGGGGCAGCATGGCCCAACATTTGCAATTCACCTAGGTGCCAGCCCATACATGAAAATTCGAGCCAGAATTTTGTCCATCCGGAAAGGCGTCCCCATGAAATTCCAGCAACAGGGCGACTTAATGCGGCATTAGAAACCAACTTCCTTCCTGATGTTGACTTCCACGCAATCGCAAGAGATGTGCTCTTCATCTCGTCCAACAGACCAGAGGCAGCGAACCGAGTGGGTATCGAGCGCCTAACTCTTGCAGCCAGCTTGCGTCTGCGCATGTCGCAATTCATTGCCGTCCATTCAACACAATGCAGGGCCACGGCCGCAGGCCACACAACCGATCTCCGTATTGCCCCGCTCGTACATCGTCCAGCGGCTTGCGGCGGGATGTCAGGTGCTCATGCTGCGCTGATTCCAGGGCCCAAGCTGCCGCACGAACGCACCCAAGGGTATTCAAGCGGCACCGCTGCGAATGACTATGCGCAGCGCCGCATAAGACATCCTCCCCCCTATCGCCCACCCCGTGCCAATGGAACCCTCCTGAAGTCCGCCTGGCTGCCTAGCGGCTGGGTGTACTGCGAACCGGAAGGCGAGACAGGACACAGATTTTGTACGACACCCCCCGCCAGTGAAGATTTGGCCGATGCAGCCGCAGCCCCTGACGCTGATTAACGTAAGAGGACATCCGATGAAAAACCACACTCGACCCGACGGGTCTCGAAGGGTACACACCCGCCGGAGAACGGTGCGGTGCCCACGGAGGCCCGGCCAGCACACAAGGGTCGGTGGCAGCCTCCCGACAGCACAGCCTGGATATCTGAGATAGTCTAAAGCTGCACCACAAAATCAATGGCGTGGGCGACTGGAGCAATCCAATGCCCAACACACGACGTGCTCTTCCGCTACGAGCACCTATGTCGGCACTCACCGCCCACGGAGGCCACGGCGACGCACATGGATAGGGAGCAGCCGCCGAAGAACGCCCCCTGGAAATCTGAGATGGCGTAAAGCTGCGCCACGAGCTCATTAGCGTGGGCGACCGGAGGATTCCGGTGCCCAACACACGGCTTGGGCTTCCCCCTCGAACACCAATGTCGGCATTCACTATCACCGGTTAACGTCTCCAGTCGCTGTTAATGTGCGTGAATGCCTGCTGGACCCCGCGCAGGCCTTTGTTCGCCTTGCCGTTGCGTTTTCTGCGGCCCTCATGGGGGCAATGGAGGCACTGTAGCCATGTGGAGCAGCATGCAATGCCCAGGTCGCACTCCCCTCGGAAAACACCATCTCAAGCACGCACACGAAACAAGATTGCACAGAGAGCAGTACCGAACCACGCAGGCAAGCAGTGCGCCAGCGCGGCCAGTCGCGACCAGCAGTCAACCGACACAGCGTTGGCTCCCTGCACACCGCAATGTCGCAAATTTCGGTGTCCCCTGTGGCCAATCTCCCTCCGCTCCCTCGGCCGGCACCCACCTTGCATGTGAGCTGCCGCCAGTAGGTGGATCGCCAGCACGACACGGCTTATGGAAGGTACCATGTGTGCCTGTTGCAAGTGCGTCGTATCCCCCCTTGGCCGCAATCCAAGATCTCCGCGTAGCTCAGGAAGCCAGGCTTTGTAGCCCCACACCGTCCGCCAACTGGCTGCCTCCTTTGCTTCCGCCCCTCTCCTAGCTTTCCGAGTGCCCTCCGATCGCCTCCAACCCTCCTGCACTCCTCCGCTCCGCCAGCCACGGCCTGCTGGCAGAGAACTGCGCAAAGGAGACACGCGCCGAGGCAGTGCGAGCCACAAGGCGGGCATGTGGCGGCACTGCGGCGAGGCACTACCGCGCTGACGCACCGGGTCGGACGCCGGTCACATGTTCTCGATTATGCGACAGGTGTACAACGTCCATTCCCAACGATGTTCCCCCAGTCGCCAGCAGGCATGTCACCTGCAGGCTGACCTGCAGGTCACCTAACGTCGCTTTTCCTCATGATGCAACGTTTGATCGGTTGGTTGCTTGGTTGACGGATTGATTGACATCCAAGGTCCAGACACTTTGACGCGACATTGCTCGAGTTGCTGCGCAGCGCCCAACTTTGAGCAGGCCGTGCATTCAACTGTGGTATTCGAAAGTTCAAAGAGTACACCATTGCAATGGTGTGCTCTTTGACCACTCCAATACCATAGGTGAATGTTCGACCTGCTCAAAAGTTGGCGTGCTAGAACCATCCCATGCAGTAGTATTGCCGGCAGCCCTGCTGCATGGGACGGTTCTATTATGGGACCCGGCAACAGGCGCAAGAAGATATCAATTGCATTCAGATTTCATAACAGAAGGGAGGATGCCGGATGCACAATGAAATTTAATGATTCGTATTCATAGAGGCACACACACACATGTCCGATATCGGCTGCTCAGCTTGAGGAAAAAAGGAACATAACTTTAAAGAACAACCAGAAGGGACAGCAACTGGTAATCCATGAGAAGCGCTGCTAATTTCCCCACTTTACGTTTCTTGCGTTAATAGCCACTGCAGGCAAGCCGAATTTTTATTGAAGAGAATGACTTCTTGTCATGGGAGGCATTCACGCAACAATACGCAATGCGCAAAGGGCTAGCTCACACTCATCACAGCCCTCAACAACCATCAGGAGTGGCCGGGCGTTGGGACTGCACAAGCAATTGTATAACCACCATTGTGCAACGAGGGAAAATTGCTTTTCGTTTTCCTCGACATGTGGCCCCACTTTGCTGATGTGAATTTCCGAGTGAATCTTAAGTGAAGGTGCCAGTGCCGTGCGATACATCTAAGGCTGAACGTCCAATATCTTCACCTGCCCGCAGTAGCGCTGGGCAAACTTGTGAAAAAGACTGGCTCTGATTATCATTCTACATCAGGATCTGATTTGCAAGGATCGTCAGAAAATACGAATCTGGAGCCTGGATGATGCAGGTGACCGGGAGAGTTTTCAGAAATGCACCATTATGTGAGTTGTGGGCACATATCCGCATAATGTCCAACGTTTATTGTGTGGATCGATTCTGCCGGACGGATAGTAATTCAATTGATTTGCTGCATGATTGGCCCAATTAAACCATTTCCACGAAAGTTATGAATTTCGATAAATGCAAAAGTCGTGATGATTCCCTCAGACGCTTCGCGAATGAATGAAACGACTGAGACAATTGTCGCGACAGCACGCTGGGCTGCATGATAGGACGCTGACGTCGTTTGACCTGATTTGGCTCATGGTGCCTTCAATCACACTCATGTTCGCTCCGGACGGCATGTCTTGAATTTCGATGGAAGAACGTGATCCCTGCTTTCTGAGATTGTCTTTTAAAAGAAATGCCTTGGTCACGTCATCTTTCCCACAGGCAATTTTGTGCACAAAATTCGCTACGTGGCGAAGTCTCGGATTTGTCCAATCATAAATTTAAAGTGATTTATCATTATGTTTATATTGCTTTGCTTTGCAAGTGCGTTGAAATCTCACTGATGACTATTTGAGCGATATGTGTAGTCAGTAATGTAGTGGTGGAACGGCGATTGCGTCTGAAAGGCTGAGTTCTTCCCTACGATTTTGCTTCCCCGTGGCCTCCCTGACAGAATTACAGATTTTCATTTCTGTCCTTCGTGGTTGTGTAGACTTTGGTGAAAAGACGTCCACGGGATGTACTGGATGTGTTCTGAGTTTGCATATAATTGGGCTGGTGTACGGCGTGTTCAAATGATGGGGACACCAGGGACAGAAATAGGTAGGCGGGCGGCTGCAGGAGATTGAAAAATTGGTCATTTTTCCTAACGCCGTGGGCAAGGGAGGCTGCGCTCGAACTTGCAGGTTGGCTAACACATACCGCAAGCGTGAGCTCGATGCGGGATGTGCCTTGTGAGACTGCATGTGGGCGCCGTTGGGCCGGCGACGAGCGTGGAGTCCGCGCTTCCCATGAGCACTCCAAGGGTGCGGTTTGATGCTGTTCCATGAAACTGTATTTTGAGATAGTGGGGGTACTGGTGTGACACATGGGCGGCTTTGGACGTGGCCATGGCACATTCTGTTGGGTCATGCATTGCGGCTATAGCACTGACTGTGACATGCATATTTTGTCGTAACACCGTGTGTAGGAAATATGCTTCTTCCAGGGATGCTGTTTGAGTCATCGCTCAGCCATCTAATTTTAACAGTGGGCTGAAATTGGTGTACAAAAACTGCTCTTTTTGTTCCAATATTTTGTGCGCCGATGGGGTACACGTAGGACAGCAATCATTGCGCTGGATTTTCCGGACGGGAGCCTGTGGCATGTGTTGTACGCTGTGAGTAGTTGGTCGGTGAGGTGGCGTGCCATTTCATGTGTTGTTGTTCTTTGGCGTTTCCAGTGGTGCGGTGCGTGGAAACGGGACCGGCAGGATTGAGAGCTGCCATGTGAGCCCGTTTAGGAGGACACACACGTGAAACACAATGAGTTTGCTATGTGTGGGTGCGATGGACTGTACAAATTTTCTGCCTTGTGAGGGCGGCAATTGACGGTGCGGTATTATTTGGCAAGCGCCAAATGTCTGCACGCATTACCAAGAATGGCGACCCACAATTCCACGTAATCTGCGCGTCCGCCAAGTACAGGACGAGCGTTGCAGGGTTGATTATTTGCATCCGACGCTGAGTAGGTACTTTCGAAAAGAGGACATTCCTTGACCACGGGTAGTGACGAATAATGATTGAAGAAGCGGGCGCAACAGAACGCACAGCCATTCGGTATACTCGAATGACTGTCAGGCGTCCAACTGTAGGCTTTTATGCCTCCACGCGAAAGTAGGAACATAGCGGGAATCTCTGGGGGCTGTGAGTCAATGAATCTGGTGTTCATTCGTTGGACAAAGAGTTCACGATGCACGTCTTTCCGTGGAACTTACAAAATTTCAATAATGTGTTCTTTACATTTGGCGCAACCGCTGGTTCCCCTCACAGTCCAATACGCCGTCGGAGAGAATCTCCCAGAACTGCATCCTTGTTCTTGCATTCTTGTTCTTGCAAACCCTTCACACGTCCACACACGGCTGTATCAACCTCCTCAGCAGCGCGCGCTTCGTCGTCAGCAGCTGCCCTTGCAGTCCTTTTCAGCGTCCCTCACAGGCTTCCAGACCTTCTTGTCGTCGAAGATGGCCTCCAAAGTGCCGCTTGCGGTGGGGCTGCAGGACTCAATGGGTCCCTCGACGGGCGGCGGCGGGGGCAAGCCCTTAAGCTGTTCGATGATGGCGGGGCACGTAGGCTCGGGGACCTCGTCCACATCAAACGCAACTGCACCAAACACACCAGCGCGCGCCCACTTAAGAACCTTGTACCAAATGATGCGCCTCCCAGCGGTGCCATTCGGCCAGCGCCTTGCCGCCCGCCACGCCAACGCAGTTTTGCGAATACCAGAAGCAGGAAGTGCACTAACACGGCGTCCATACCGCATGTGAGGCGCACAGCTTGCCGTGGTCAATTTATTGCCCACTTGTGTTGGCAAACAGCCATTGTGGCTAGCCCGCTTTGCTGGGGCGAATCTTGCAGCGCAGGCACATTTGCCCCATTTGCCGAAAAATACGCGAATTTTCTCAATTCAGCGCCCGGAAAGCGTGCACTCTTTGGCTGGGAGGTCGCGTTGCGCTCTGCCCAGATTGATTGCCACGCCAACGCCACTCACCCCATTCGCATTTGCCCTTCGTCTTCTCGCACGACTTCTGGTCCGTCCCGGATGAGCAGTCCGCGACCTTGAGCAGCCTGCACACCATGGGCTTTTCATCCTCCGGCACCGGCTCCGGGGGCGCGCCGGCGTCCTTGGCCAGGCACACAACTCCGGACTCCCACTTGCACAGGTCGTCGGCCAGGCAGTCGTCCTCGGAGGTCTTGGTCGGGCAGTTCACGGCGGCCTGGAGCGCGGCGGGGTCGGGCAGGCCCAGGCAAAGGGACTGGTTATCCACCAGCTCCTTCAACTGGCACGTGCAGGACATCTCCTGCCTGGAATGGGAGCACAAATTCTCGGGCATTAGGAAACGGCGGAACCACAGGGCATCACCCCCAAGAAGATCGCGTGCTTCATGGCCAATCGTGTGAAGAGGCCCTCTGTCAATCAGGCTGACGCTGGACTGCTGTCGACCACACTTCCCTGCTCGCAAATATGACAAGTGCATCCGATGCATGGCTGCCAGTACTCACCACACGCATCCGTCGGTGTCACCGCAGTCATCCTCCTCCGTCTGCTTCAAGCATTCCTGCGATTCCAACCACAACAGCGCCACTAAGAACACACCGAGCTGCAAACCTTTTCCTGATGGTCCTGTGGGGTTGGTGTCTGCAAAAGTTTTTGAGAGGATCTTGTATTTATTCAATTTAACAAGCCCGCTCTACGATTGTGTAGTCCGTATGGAAGTTTGCGTGATTAATCAACGTGGCTGGGTGAAGCTAATCCAGAGACGTTGAACATCGCATCAGCACGGAAGGATGACAAACATGTGCAAAGTGCGATCGCGTGCGATACTGGAATGCATGTATACGTGTCGAGAAAAGCACATGCCACACATGCGTGGTCAAGTTCCCACGTGAATGGCACTGTCGGCTTCCAAAACCGCCAGAATGATGGCAGCTGTGAAGATGGCTTCACCCGGCAAGACACAAATTTTCTCAAATGAACAACTGCGTCGTGTTGAACAAAAGGACAGTGTATGCCAGGCGATAGGGGCAATCCAGAAGGGCCTATTGACACATTCCGAAGCTTAGGCGTCATGCCATGCTTTGAAAGACGCCCCGCTTGTCGATGCTTTCCTCAACAATGTGCGCTTTCCATGCGACATCTGTGTGGGCTGGGGAAAGGGAATTTGAGCCTCTGAGGCACACACAGGGGCAGTTGCAGAGAGAGCGAATCCAACCCTCGATGGTTACGCCTGCCCAAATCGGCGAGAGGGCACCGAACGGGACAAATACTGCCACCAGAAGTGGTCTCTTGGCGCAAAGGCCATCCATCAAATCGAGCATGCGTAAAGCAGTGCGTTGGGTGGCCATTCTGCACCAGCAACCCAGTCATGAATGACAACGCTGATTCAGGAATGGCGCCCGTTCAGTCAGACGGGAACAGATCGCGCGATGCGCGCCTCCCACCCTGTTGCTGAGCCAGAGGTCGGCGAGGTCCTTGTCCTTCGCCTTCTTGACCGCGTCCACGGACACGTCCTCCCCGGGGATGCACTGGTCGGAGCTGGGCACGTCGGTGCAGTCCTGGGTCAAGTGCCTGGACCGATGGAAGCCCTGCAACAGCGGACCCCCTTAACATGAGAACGGTCATAGCGTCGCTCTCGTTACGGGAACTACTCGGCGATCGTCACAATCGCCTGCCGCAGTGGCAGCGCTGCCACGAGCAGGATCGGCGGGGAAGGCGTCCAATGATGGACGTGTAGCGTGGGACGCGAACTCTGGCTCTGCGGAGCCGTGAGGTGCGCGACGTGAGCGAGGAAAGGGTAAGTTTGCCCGACACGGACGGGACATGCGCGCTTGCACGCACGCACGAAAGGGCGCACGATCGGAGGTTCTGTCACGGGGGAAGAGGCTGCAGGGCGGGCCGCTGCTCACCTCCGCGCACAGGCCATCCGTCAGCAGGAGCACCGCCAGAATGGTCCCGGTCAGCGACATGGCCCTCATGGCGCTGGCCTGCGCGTGGTGTGGCAGACACGGGCAGTCAAAACCATGCGGACTCCCCAATAGATGCCCCCAAGAAGTGAACGCAACCGGCGTTTGTCCTCGCCCCAGCAGAGACGGCCCGACTCCGCATCACAGCGGTTTGGGATTCATCGTTCCCACCTTGAGTGCAGGAGATCAAGGGCCTCTGTGGTGGAAGCGGTGTCCGCGGGCTGCAAGGAAGGCAACCGCGGGGGCTCGGAAGTCGAGGGCGGTGAGCGGTGATGGCACAACAGGCAAGCGCCCCCTTCTTGTACCTGTCGCGGGCGTTCGATGTACGTCCATTCCTGCATCTGCCCAATGGCACACTCCTGTACAGAGTCATGGCCGGGAGAGCTAAGCGAACCCACATTGGGAACCGGCGTGAAGCGACGGCAGCCAGCGGGCTGCTGGTAGGGTTAGGGGGAAGGGGGGCGTGCGCCGTACGCATCGTGGGACACGATCGAACATTGCGGTGCTCTTTGTCGAAGTCACCGAGCGGCTGTACCGGCCGATGTTGCTCCACGGAACACATCGGGTAGCTGCATGAAGCGGCGCGTGGAATGGGCGCTGCCTGTACAGGCGCCCCTGATCCCGCACAAGGGCAGGCCCCTCGGACTTGCGGCAACATCGTATCCCCAGGCGGCCCGGCGGCCCCAGTTTGACAACAGCGAAGTTCTGGTTGAAGATTGGGCGGAGCGCAAAGGGCGAGAGCCACGGACAGCACGGCGCGCGGCCTGTCGCGTAGTGTGGCCTGTCGCACCATGCAAGCCCGCCAACCGCCACGTGCCTGTACATCACCCATGGTGCTTTGCCCTGTTGCCCGTGGGATGACATGCGCGTGCATTTTGTACACGGCATCCACGATTGTACATTACGTGTCGCCCAGCGCAACGAATCGGCAGTTGGTGGGCCCACCAGACATCGTAGCCCTGCCCTGACCAAGGCACAGGGTCTGCAATTTGCTCTGTGCTACGTGCTCCAGGACTCACGAGCTGCTTGAATATGCAGTGACCGAATGCCACAACACCACTTGCGATGCTGTTGCGGGGCCTCAAAACCGTTTGAAACAACAGTGGTGCTGTTGCAAGACATGCTGGAGTAAGTTTGATTGCCAATTGGCAGTCAAGCCTCCCCCCACCATGTCTTGCAACAGCGTTGCTGTTTACGGGACTGCAGGACTGCGTCGGCTGGTGCATTTGCAATGCATCAGCAGAAGAAGCCAATCGGGAAACTATCAGCCAACCAGCTGGAAAGCGATGGTGGCACCGCTGGTATTGTTGCTGGCACCAGCAGTGTCATCTCCATTCGTGACGCATCATAATGACCACCGCTTCAATGGGTTGGTCACTTGTGACAAAGGCTGGTGATGGATTCACCGTAGGAGTTGGTTCCCAAAACGACGGGAACTCAACCGGGCAAGTTGTTCACCCCATTTTCCATCAAGATTTGGAGCAGAATCATTTCCGAGAGAGTGGAATGCGTGCTGAAGACCGGTTAAGCCACGGTCAACAATTTTGCATGAAGCAGATTCAGATGTCTTCATTCCCTGGATAACCTCCAATTTGTCCCCATTTCTCAGAACCAGGGAATTTGTCCTCCAATCGACCAGTGGATTAACGGTATCCAACCAGTCCCGACCGAGGATGACTTGGATACCCTCCATCATAGGCACCGCTGTCAAAGACACCCTGCTGACTGTTGACCCGATGCATAGCAGCATGTCCGGTGCAATTCCTGTCGAGACGACAGTCTCGCCATTTGCCAATTCCAGCGAGGAATATACACCAATGAACGATAATGGTGGTCGGGTTTGCAAGTGCTCACTCACAAATGACCGAGTGGCACCCGAATCCACCAATGCTGACACACGTGTGTCGTTTATCACCGCTCTCAGGATGAGGAGCAGGTGATCCTTGCCTGTGGTCCCCGAGTTTGACTTCCTCGCAGCAGTGGGATCCACAGATGCTTCCGTCCTCTCAACCAGGCACTTGGGGACCCCCACCAATTCTGATAGAGATTCCTGCACCTTTTCAGGCGCCCCATCTTGCCCCTTGGAAGCATTGTTTTCCTCAGCTTGGCGTGTACGGCGACGTCGCCTTCTTTCCACCCTGCGCCTCCACTTCCTCGACCTCTTTTGGCG